ACCATAGGATTCAGGTTCGTCTGTCTCCTTGACACCTTGCTCATTGTCGGGCGCTGATTGCTCGGATTGTTCTTCAGGCTTTCCTTGCGTGGGCGAGTCTGTGTTGCTATCGTTTGAGGAGATCGCTATGATTGTTGCTAACGCTTCCGCCATTTTGACTAACTTGTCTCGCTCTTCTGTCGTCTGTGGGGCATCAAAGTATCCCTGTGGGTCCGTCAAATATCCTACTACGTCCCCTTTCCTGATCATTTTAGGGTGAGGTGACGGATTCGAGACTGGGACCCAAGGATTCGCTGCTGAAATTAGCACGTTAGGTATGACGAATGTTGAATCGTCGGCGGCGGCTAGGACATTCTTCTCTACCAGCCATGTCTTATCCTCCTCGAAGTGACCATCCACCTTAATCCGACGGCATTCGTCGGGACGAAGGCGATAATCCTCAGCCGCTCGAATGGTTCTTTTCTCGACGCCGAAGCTTTTGGTTCTCCTCGCTTTCTTCGCTTTATTGCGTTTGTGTAGCTTCGCTTTGATGAAGCTAGCAGCCGTGCAAGCGCTTTGGCGCATTCGCTCGAAGTCCCTTGTCCTATTGACCCCTCGAGCTGAAACTGAATAAGGTACTCCTGCGAAGTTAACAACCGAGCAGAAGTCTATCTTGTGAGCAACGATAAGCTCGTAGTTCAGGTGATAATCCTCTCCCAATAGGATAGGAACTGTCATATTTGGAACCACATACGCCTCCGCTTCCGTTTCGAGAAGCACCCCTCCCGCGGACTGAAAGAATATCGGAATACGCACGTAGCCTTGAAGAGTAGCGTCCTTGTCGGTAAGCTGCCACAAGTTCATTTTTAATCCATTCTGACAGGTAGGTCGATCCTGCAGGCTTTCCAGATATTCTTGCGAGATCAAAGTGACATCTGCACAAGAATCCAGCCTGATGTCGATAGGCTTGTTTCTAGTCGAACCGACCCATCCCTGAGCGGCCACTACCGACAATCCTACCGCTGAAGCGCCTGCTGGGGCGAAACGTCTCTTTTTCAATTTGACTCTGATATCTGGAATGGGAGGTCCTGGTAGTTCCGAAGGTACGGGAGGCGTTTCAGCTTCTTCATGAGAGGAAGGAGATCTAAAGTTCGGTTCTACCCTTTCCTCTTCCTTATTTGTCTGGGATGCGAAAGTTTCTTTCGTTGGTACTGTTTCTTCCATGAGGAAATCCGAGGACTTTGGTTTGGCTTGATAGGCCAACCAATCCTCGTCGTCTACTTCTTCTATGGTCGTACGTGGTGTTCTTTCTGAGATCCCTTCCCTGGACTTACTCGTTTCTCCCTCAGTTACCTGTGAAAAAGACGATGCCGACTTAAAACCCTGCTGGGTGAAACTTTCTTCCAGTAGAGGTTGGTTAACTACGTCTCCCGCTATTCTCTCATTGAGGAGAACCGAATACGCAGTCGCATAGGCTTTTTCGGATTCGTCTTCGGACCAGAGTTGCGCTACGTTAGCCGTTCGCTTCGCTCTCTCAAGGCAAGTGTCATGGTCCGGACATTCCTTGTCCCAGTGGTTCTCACTCCCACAACATTTGCAGGGCGATGGGGGTAACTTACCCATCTTCGTAGTGACATGATCATTCTTAGGAAAGGGATACCCTCCCACTGGTGGAGCGCGTTGACGTCTCTTCAAGACTTGGTACGCTTCGCGTAGGATATGTTGGTTTCCTTCGCCCGTGGAAGAAGGAATTGTAACAGAGGGGAAGATTGCTTCCTCCGTGCTTTGACCAGTATTAGGGTACTCTGCTAAGTTAGCGCGGCGTTGGTAGGGTTGATAGGAACTTGTAGCGGAAAAATTTTTCTCCTTATCTTTATCCGGGATGAGACCCATCTGTCTCAGCTGGCTGACGATATTGTTGATCGATGGGGCTTGACCCCCTTTTGAAACGCGGAACGCTTCCAACAGCGCTTCCTCATGTTCAGTCACTCGAGAGTAGAGTTCGCTCGAATCCTTGATGCTGCTTATGAGTAGAATGGGTCCCCAGCTTATTGGGGCTTTCCTCATGATGTAGAAGACCTCTAGGGGCCCTCCACTGATGGATAAAAGCATACGCGTATAAACTATACGTCTGACAATGAATTCCGATGGGCTCTCTCTTTCGTGATTTCTTTCCCGGAAATGCTGGGAATTGTAATAATTGTTCATTTTGAGCTGCCAACGGTGACCTAAGTATCCGTCTTTGATGCCTTTTAGGAACTTGAGATAATGCGAGCGCATGTAAGTTTGGTAGTTCAGAGGTAATGTAATGAACCACGATTTAACTGGTGATTTGTCCTTCAACCGGAACCATAACCAGTAACCTAGGGCCTCCAGAATCCAGCCTCCCAAATGAGCTAACTGTTGGACTTCCCAGAAATAATCTATGGCTGTCCAATGATTTCCATCCCATTCTGGTAATTGTTCGACTTTCAGTTCTGTCTTGATAGACACGGGTATGTTTCCATATGGGGCTGGCGGTCCTGTTTGATTTCCCGGGTATGGAGGTCCACCACCACCGCCTCCTCCTCCTGGGTCACCCCCAGCTCCTCCATGATAAGGAGTTCCGCCAGGAGGTGAGACGTTGGAGTTGCCGGGCAGCGGCCAATGGGGAGGAAATCCATTTCCTCCTCCGCCCCCTCCACCTCCGCCACCTCCTCCCGGAGGATCGTTGTTTGGTGGAGGTCCTCCCTCGGATGACGAGGGATCATTAGGGCGAATGGGTGGTGAATCGTTCTTCGAAGACATCAACGCTAGACGCGGTTGATTGACATTCGACGTCTTGCCTTTGACATTGTCCGAGAATTGGGTTGTAGAGGGCGTGGCGAGCCCCACAGTAACGTCCGTCGTAGGCGCTACCCCTGGTGTAGAGAAATAAGCCGTTTGGTCAGGGCTGTTGGAAACGTTAAAGAACCTAACGCTGCCTTTGAATGGCGTCTGAAAGCCAAAGGAAGGCTCAAGCCCTTGGTTGTTATCCCTTCCCCGTTCCATGCTCGAAGATCTTTCGTCCCAAGGGGATGCTTCGCCCCATTCCGCCTTCTTTTTGCCCTCCTTGACCGACTGGTGCGGAGTACCGGGTTCTAAGGAAGTGAAGGATGAGAGAGCTTGCAATTGAGACTGCGGTTCGGTGGACAGAGGAAGCGTAGGGTGGATTACATCCCAGCTGAGCCCTTGCTCAACTGCTGTTTTCGCCGCAGAAGTGAGATGACCTTGGTGGTGCGGTATCTTCTACAACATGAATCTCATGCGGCTATCCACGCCGTCGAGTCTGTCGAATTCGTCGTAAAGATCAGGGACTGTCGATATTGGCGATAGCAGAGCATCGGCGTCCTGATATTGAGCTTCATACTTAGCAACGGTTTGTTGAGCTGTCAAGAGGCGCTTGAAGAGAATCGCGTGCGCAACTTCTAGCTGAGATCGGCTCTCACAGCCTTGTAGGGCGGTTGTCATTGTGTCTTGAGGGTCAATGCGAAACGCGTTATCCCGCTCTTCTATCAGGTTCGCCATTCTATCGAGAAAGGTTTGTAGCTCAGTGACCACCCGGAGCATTCGACGTAATCGGGTTTCGCCCACCGCAATCATAGTATAGGGGTCGTCATGATCTTTCTTGCGAACGATATCGCTAGGCTTCAAGGTAGGTTGCTGAAGGATCCAAGAAACTTCAGCTGCGGTGGAAAAGTTACCGCCTTGCTCACGGTTGTATTCGATTATGAGGCTATACATCGGTGAGAGGGCGTATCCCCTCTCCATTCCTCGACGCAAGGTTGCCGTATTGTCCATAGATTCCTCGTCGGCGGGCAATGGGGTGGCAGAGGTCGGTTGTGGTAACTCGTCTGGCTTCGTCGTGGAAGGGGAAGGATTCTTTGAAGACATCCTTGGCGCAGGGGAGTGAGATGATACCTTCGGTCTCGGTATTAGTGATGACTGATGCGGAGGTTGTTCTCGCGTCGGGAGGGTCGTTTTGTTTTTAGTCGACGTGGAAGACATAGTCTGAGAAAAAGTCGTTCTCCTCCAGGGCGAATCAGATGGGACAGGAGCAGGAGTTTCTGAGGCAGCAATCGTAGTCGAGTCAGCCTTATTGAGAGCTTTGACAGCTCCGGATGGCGCTGAAGAAAAAGAAGGTCTAGTTGAAGAGAAAGCGGGCTTGCCCCCCCCTAGAGACCACCGGGGGAGTCGATTTCGTAGAGCGATAGTGTGACAGGGTGTCGGCTTTTAGTGTATGTTCGAAGAGATGAGATAGTCGTAACTGATCAGAAGGATGAGGTTGAGTTGTCGGCCAGATGGATCAACCGATCCCACAGTGTCCACCTTTGTGGAACGCTACTCGATGCTAGTGTCACTCGGGTAGCGGGACGGCTGTTGGAGCACCTAGCGGACAACGCGAACAGAGGTGTGACGACCCACGAAGTAGGTCTCTCAGTTGACGGATCAGACGCTCAGAGTCATGGAACGTGACTGTTCACAGTACCCGTACTCCGATCTCCACGGACAGTCCCGGTGGAGAGTGCTCTGATCGTAGAATGCGGAACGTCCCCTTACTCGTATCGCCTACTGCTTGGATGAAAGCCGTTAGTAGGGCTTTTGGAGCCAAGTAGGGCAGACGATATGGTAGTAAAAGAGATAGATTGCCTCATGGGCTACATGAGGTATATGTACAGTGATGGACGGAGAGGAGGAAGATGAGGCATGGTTGTACATTTAAGTGCAGCAGTCAAGCACTTCCTCGACTGCTCCTTTGGTGACCAACAAACCCTTCTCGTCGATTCCCGCTTGGAGGTGAAAGACGAAAACTGAGAGCAGGCGACATGTAGAATCAAAAGGAACTTCAGCCAATTTGTTCCACTCCTCGATTTTTGACATTATTTTCAGCTTCACTACTGCCATCCTCAGCAGGCTTGAAAGGTACGTTTTTGAAATTTGAAGAAGTCGATGATGGCGCGATTGATGGGCCTCATGGTTCCAGTTTGCAATGCAGGGTTCAGTTAGGCTAGCTTAATGGGCAGATCTGAAGGCTCCCCAGAACCGGGAGTCGAGCCAGATACTCGGACAAGGTCGATTGTCAGAGTGCCCGTCTTATCTGAGCAGAGGATATTGACAGCACCAAGGCTTTGAATCGCCTCAAAAACTTTGACAATCACTTTTTTACGTGCCACTCGCACAGCCGAGTGTGCAAAATTGGCGGCCTACGATGTCAACTCAATATGGTGCATAGACCAAGTGGGGTGAACTCACCACAACCTTGGGAAGCATTTCAGGTGTGATACCAACCACAACAGATATGGCAAAGAAGCCAGTGCCCTTCCAGCCCTTACCTGCTTGAATTACAGGTACCACTGTGACCTATCATTTAACCATCCTCATTAGTTCCGAAAGTTCATCATAAGGAAAGATGGGAAACTTACTGCCATGAAAAGCCAATAAGAGATAGCTGACCCTCCTAACACCAACCTGCATAATGTTGGGGGGAAGTAGAGGTTCGACACGTATCCAATGAACACATGCATCAGCACAAGTGGTCGAGAATAAAGTGGGAAGGTAGAGTGAAGGTAGAGTTTATGCACCTGAATTGAAATTTGAGGGATGGGTGGAGAAATAAGTGGAGTATTGTCGGTTGGTGGAGTACTGACTGTAGAGTCTCCTTGAGGATGGACACCGACGATGGGGACTGTAGGGCGAAGAGGATGGAAATAGGGGGAGACGGAAAAGCTTTCTCTGGGTCGGGCGGGTCTTGGGTCAATTCCGGCGGGTGTTCCCTCTCATAGTTCATTAGCAGGCTCGAGATATTCATGCGCTGAGGAAAGCACGATAAAATAGCGTAGTCTGAGGGCGGAGCGCCAGAAAGATTGGCAACAGATCGGGAGTCGGGCCCAAAAACCACGTGAAAGGCGTGACATGTCACAATATCTTCTCCATATCCTCAGCCTTGCATCTTCGGAAGAAATTTTTATTATATTCACAATCTAAGCCATAGTTAGATGCTGATGTTATTGAAGAAGAAATTTTGAATTTCTTCTTAATTTCCTTGCTGATATTATCCCTGAACAATTTATTATTTTATCTCTGATTTATTCTCAATATCTTCTGTGAATAAATAGGCCAATGCCCCCAGTGCAACGACGACCTTTGAAAATAAATGAGAAAGTGTCAAAGAAGAAGGAGAGCAAGTAAGACCTTGGAAATCATTGAGGAATCGACGAACACGCTTGTGAAACTTCAGACGCTTGTCATCAGGGAGGCTGACAAGCTTTCGTGGAATGTCCCAGCGAAAACCAATAAAAGTGGTAACAAAAAGAAAGTGATCATCACCTTTCTCATCATGCCAGGGGATGCCCAAGGGAGCGATATGGCATAGCATTTCGCTGCAGTCGTAATCATACGAGAAGTAGGGACTGTCATGGATATACCCGGGTATTAACCGTACCCGATCCATGGATTTTCCCACCCACGGATCAGATAAGGCACAGTACGGATATATCCGTGGGTAAACAGCCTGGGTGACCAAGTAGCTATATAAATGAGTGTATCTCGTTCATTTCCTGTCCGTTCTTTATGAAAAAAATTGTGTTAGAAAGCGAAAATTCAGGAGAATTCATATTAAAACAAAAGTCATTCATATATTATTTAAATTGAGTATATTGAAACTAAAGTTATTTATATATCATCATCTGAGGTCTTTCTCCTTGTATAATGCTGCTGTAACTGAGCCTTGATCACAGAGAGTGTTGGGGGTGTGTATTAGCATGCCTTGGCCATCTTGAGAGTATTTATTTTCAGTTTCAGAGAAATGCTTTTGAGAACAATTGATATTTAGGTTGGGTAGCAACAGAAACAATGAAGGAAATGGGAGGTTATATGATGTACAGGCACAATGCATCACATTCCTGACTGCAACTTTCATGAATGGGTTCTGATTTCTGCTCAGCCCCAGGTAAGCAGCATTATTCACATTTATTTTCCTTTACTTTCAATTGATGCAGCTACTTCTGTGGATGCAGAGTGGGCATTCTCCACTGGTCACAATCAGATCAATTTCACCCAGCACAATATCAACTTTCAAACATTCAGAGCAGAAATGGCTCTTAGATTCTTGATTAAATTCTCCTTCTACCCAGCTTCAATAAAGTTACACAAATGATTGAAAAAAGATGGACAATGATTTCTTTTCCTCTTAAATAGGTTTTTGTAACACATTGTGTCACCAAAATTGTTCTTTCAATACCTCTGGGTTCATCAAGGTAAATTTGAATGTTCTCCTGTTTTTTTATTGGGGCATATTGTGATTGCTTTCACTAAAAATTGAATTCATTAACAGGATTTCAAAGATTTCTGGTGACAAGCTTGGGTGACAGCTGGGAACAAAGCCCAGGTCACAATTTGGACCCCTTCCACAAGCAGCAGGGGCCAGGAAGTTGTTGTGATAGCATTCTGTCGTGGTGGAAGGGAGTTGGGGGTACAAATAACACTCTTATCTATTCCAGGCATGTATGCTCAAAATATCTCAAGAAGGTCTAAAAATATCTAATTTACCCACGGATACCTGTGGATAGTTCGGGTACTTACCCGAATCCATCAGTTGAGTCCAAATATGGGTGGATTTCAGGTTCACCCGGGCTTTAGCTATCTGTGACAGTCCCTAATGAGAAGTCTCCATCATGGAAAGTGCCCGTAGATGAAGGGGTACGAAAGACTTTTAAATCGTCTTCGTATTTTGGGAAGGGAAGACGCCCTCTGCCTTCCAAATGTCGATGATGGCATTAGTGATCATGCCAGCGTTACTGCTAGCACAAGTGGTGCCAAAAGGATGCATGTGGTCAATAAAGAATTGACCAGCAATGCCTTGGACAATGAGCCAGGGCTTGTGGGAAGGTAATACAGGGCAGGTGCGATGGAAGTTTTTAATGACCAATGTGCAAGCCTGAGTCCCAGGAGGAGTGAGTGCAATCTATGTGTAAGTGTAAGCGTCGGTGATGTGGAAAGGTAGATAGCGATGATAGGAGTGATGGAAAAGGGCAAGTACCATGAGGTACACCACAGTGGACAAGACGCTGCAGAGAGAAGAGCATCATGAGATGCTCATAAAGAGGAAACACAAGCAGTGTTTTCATGCATGAGCTTGCGCGAAGAATACATTATGAGATGTCCAAGTAGAGGCACTAGGGTGCCCTACACACAAGTGTGCGCAAGAAAGAAATGGGCAGGAGCCCAAGATAACACACAAGGAGTGCCAATATCTCAATCTGCATATGGCAGGCAAGAAGAAAACATCCCCCTGCACGAAACGCAAAAGGGATATATAAGGAGGAAGTAGAAAATGGGGGGAAAGAGACTGAGAAAGGGAAGACTCACGATTTCAGCCACTTTTGATGCCAAATCAAATCGTGTTGGGAAATCCTCTTTGCGGATATGTGATGGGTGGTATACACTTTTATGATAAAAACCAGACATATGCCTGGAGGGCAATGTGTATAATGCCTAGAGGTTCAATGAGATCGCATATCTCATTGTTCTAGGATATCTCATTGGGATTTTTACATGGATACCTGGCGCTTTCAATATATATTTCATTCTCAACCCCAGGATATTTCATTGCGAGTTTCATATGAAAGCCTGGCGCTTTCAATATATATTTCATTCATTATCTCTGGATATCTCATTGTGCTTTTCATTTGAAAGCCTGGCACTTTCAATATATATTTCATTCTCAACCCCAGGATATTTCATTGCAATTTTCATATAGATACCTGGTGCTTTCAATATATATTTCATTCTCAACCCCAGGATATTTCATTGCAATTTTCATATGGATACCTGGCGCTTTCATTGGATATTTCATTGTTAGCCCCAGGATATTTCATTGTGCTTTTCATCTGAATGCCTGGTGCTTTCAATGGATATTTCATTCTTGTTCCTAGGAGATTTCATTGCACTTTTCATATGTGTACCTGGCGCTTTCAATGAATATTTCATTTTTAGCAGAAAAATTGAATATATATAAAATTGGTGTACAGAACATCAGGCACTGCCTTCAGGGTCCACTTCAGGGTCCATCCTAAAAGGGAAATATCACCTGATTTGACTAGTGTTTAAAGGTTCAGTTCAGTCCGGTTTTTTGCCCCGAAAACGCGCAACCGTGGACCGCAACCGGTCCAGGACCGACCCAGATATTGAGGGAACCGAACCGAACCACCTAGGACCGGTCTTTTGCGGTCCATGATACCGGTTCAGACCGATCCAGACCGGTTTTTTTGCGTATAATTTATTGTACCAATATAAACCATTTGTATCTCAACCATTATTACTCTGAAAAATAAACGGGTTATATAAAATAGTAAAGCATATAAATACCCATCATTCTACCAATTTTCAAGAGATTTAATGAAGATTTGACATAGCTATGACTGAAACCGAATTACATCTCCTAGAGACTCGGGTAAAATATGGATTTGGTTATATCTTTCTCAATTCTTAACCGTTTTTGATGAAACAAAAACCCAATAAAAGGCAATAAACGTGGTTACAAGGTTATGTAACGCACGTGACCGTTTAACCGGTTGCAACCGATTAAAACCGGTCTTTGAACGGTTTTAAAAGATTTTCGAAATGAGGCAACCGGCAACCGGACCAACCCCAAATTGGGGCAACTGCAACCGAAAAAAAGACCGGACCATGGTCCGGTTCAGTTCAGTCCACCGGTTTTTTGCGGTCCTATGGACTGAACCTTTAAACACTAGATTTGACCAAAAACTGAAAAAAAACCAAGAGGAGAATGATTTTACCTATCAGGGTCCATGTAATGGGATGTTGGGATGATGGTCACATGACCAATTACCAAAAATGGTCAAAAAACAAAAGTTGTAGCCCTACACTGTAGCTTCCTAAATCTGTTTAAATTATGTTCTGAAGTGCTCCCATTGTGGAGATATGAGGTAAAGGAATCCCAAAAGTGTCGTGTTTTTTTTTGTTTTTTGCATTTTTCTCTATGAAAACAAAACCAAACAATATGATTTCAGTATATTTAGAAATCTAAAAGAAAGAGCTACAATTATTGTATCATGGGAAAAATGACCAAAAAAGGAAGGTGCATGCCCTAGAAAAGGAATTGTCAGATATAGATTACCAAGTTTACTGATAGACTACAAAAAAGTCGGACTCAGACTACAAAGTTTACTGATAGACTACAAAAGACTACAAAAGTCAGACATAGACTACAAAATTAGGGTTAGGGCTAACAGGTTATCCAAAGTCAACCTAGCCCATCCATCCCATACATTGATGGGGAAATGGCTGGGGAATATACAAATACATTGCAGGGACCCTATTCCATGTCTAGTTTGAGGAATCATATGCAAAAGAGAGCATCGCAGCCATTAGAAAAGGGTGTCCTGTCCACTCTTTTAGACTACAAAAGTTTGTAGTGTCTGCTTTTTTAGACTACAAAAGCTTGTAGTGTCCGCTTTTTCATTAGAAAAGTTTATAGTGTCTGCTTTTTAGACTACAAAAGTTTGTAGTGTCTGCTTTTTTAGACTACAAAAGCTTGTAGTGTCCGCTTTTTCATTAGAAAAGTTTATAGTGTCTGCTTTTTAGACTACAAAAGTTTGTAGTGTCCGCTTTTATAGACTATTTTTTAGACTACAAAAGTTTGTAGTGTCCGCTTTTTAGACCACAAATGTTTGTAGTGTCCGCTTTTTGAGACTACAAAAGTTTGTAGTTAACATGTAGGTTATGGTGTCCTTGGCCTGTCTGGGTTATGGGGATGAGGTTGATGATCTTACATATTGCCAGTGCTTCAGCATTAGTTTTTGACATCATGCACAAGTTGTCTTTCACATTAGGAAAGGCTATTCTAAAGCCTTTCATATTGATACCTACTGTCCTATCTCAAAACATAACTATAAGTTCATGTGGGGATATGGCTGAAGGATTGCTATTGCCACATCATCAGTTTTTCATGTCATGCCCAAGTTTGCTTTCACACTGTCTGCTTTCACATTGATAGCTACTGGCCTGTCCCAAACATAGTCAACTTTGATATCAGGTCTTTGAGGGTTATAGGATGATGGGCTGATTCATTCTGGGAGATGTCCTCAAGTTAAGTCATGTTGTAAGGTGACCATGTATGGCAATGTGTAAGATCATGTCAATCCTTCAACCTCATCCCCATAACCTAGACAGGGCCAAGGACACCATAACCTACATGTCAACTACAAACTTTTGTAGTCTCAAAAAGCGGACACTACAAACTTTTCTAATGAAAAAGCGCACACTACAAACTTTTGTAGTCTAAAAAAAAGCGGACACTACACACTTTTTCAAATGAAAAAGCAGACACTACAAACTTTTGTAGTCTAAAAAGCGGACACTACAAACTTTTCTGATGACAAAAGCAGACACTACAAACTTTTCTGATGACAAAAGCAGACACTACAAACTTTTGTAGTCTAAAACAGTGGACAGGACAACCTTTTCTAAAGGCTCTCATGCTCTCTTTTGCATATGATTCCTCAAACTAAACATGGAATAGAGTCCCTGCAATGTATCTGTATATTCCCCAGCCATTTCCCCATCAAATATGTGCCATGTATGGGATGGATGGGCTAGGTTGACTTTGGATAACCTTTTAGCCCTAACCCTAACTTTGTAGTCTAAGTCCAACTTTTGTAGTCTTTTGTAGTGTATCAGTAAAATTTGTAGTCTATATCCAACTTTTGTAGTCTTATGCAGTCTATCAGTAAACTTTGTAGTTGAGTCCGACTTTTTTGTAGTCTATCAGTAAACTTGGTAGTTTATATCTGACCATTCCTTTTCTAGGGCATGCACCTTCCTTTTTTGGTCATTTTCCCCGTGATACAATAGTTGTAGCCCTTTCTTTTAGCTTTCTAAATATACTGAAATTATATTGTTTGGTTTTGTTTTCATGCAGAAAAATGCAAAAAACAAAAAAAAAACGCAACACTTTTGGGATTGCTTTACCTCATATCTCCACAATGGGAGCACTTCAGAACATAATTTGAACAGATTCAGGAAGCTACAGTGTAGGGCTACAACTTTTGTTTTTGACCATTTTTGGTAATTGGTCATGTGACCATCATCCCAACATCCCATTACATTGACCCTGATAGGTAAAATCATTCTCCGCTTGGTTTTCTTCACTTTTTGGTCAAACCAGGTGATATTTCCCTTTTGGGATGGAACCTGAAGTGGACCCTGAAGGCAGTGCCTGATGCCCAGTGAAAATTGACCCTGTGCAGATCGGGTTCCTCTGGATCAAATCGATATATTTGCCAATTTCCGGCCATCTCCCCTGTTCAGATCGGGCCCCACCGATCCATTTGGCCATTTTTTAGGGTCAATTTTCACTGGGCCTGATGTTCTGTACACCATTTTTTATATATATTCAAATTTTCCGCTATTTTCTGGCTATTTTTGGATATATTACCATATTTGGAACTGGACCCTGGACCCTGACAATGTTACCCAACATGATGATCAGCAATGAGCCCTAATTTTTCCTGATTTTATTGCCATTTTACATTTGGAAATGCACCCTGGACCCTGAAAGGTCAGCTGCCGCTAAAAATGAAATATTCATTGAAAGCACCAGGTACACATATGAAAAGTGCAATGAAATCTCCTAGGAATAAGAATGAAATATCCATTGAAAGCGCCAGGCATCCAAATGAGAAGCGCAATGAAATATCCAATGAAAGTGCCAGGGATATATATGAAAAGCACAATGAAATATCCAATGAAAGCACCAGGTATATCTATGAAAAGTGCAATGAAATATCCTAGGAACAAGAATGAAATATCCATTGAAAGTGCCAGGCATTCAGATGAAAAGCACAATGAAATATCCTGGGGCTAACAATGAAAGCGCCAGATATATATATGAAAACTCCAATGAAATGTCATGGAGCTAAGAATGAAATATTCATTGAAAGCGCCAGGCTTTCATATGAAAAGCAAAATGAGATATCCAGAGATAATGAATGAAATATTGCAGGAAATCGCAATACAATATTAATGAGATCACCTAGGCCATTTAATGAAAAAACCAAATGAAATACACAGGGAACTTAATGAATGAAAATACTAGACAAAATAATGAGTTGTCTCATTGAACCTCTAGGCATTATACACATCACCTTCCAGGCATGTGTCTGGTTTTTATCATAAGAGTGTATACCACTAGTGGATATGTGAATTGATGGAGGCATGCAGTTTGGAGGCTTTGGAGAGGTGCCTGCAGATTCTGACCTTGTCAGGCATACTGTGTTGCTGGGGCTGAAGTGAAACGATGAGGGGAGAAGACTGGAAAGGGCCACGCATGATCAGCTCTGTCTCTGTGCGCGAGAAAGGACTGGACATCCTGCCGGCAAGGAGCTCTTTTTGAAGGTAGTTCTGGATATCAGACATGTAATCGTGAGTGGAGGGATTATTAGGAAGGACAACGCCATGTGTCAAAGCAGGCATGCGTCTGAGGGGAAAACTGTGCCTCAGATTAGAAGGGAGGAGAGGATAGTAAGAAGAAAGGTTGTGTTTGAGCAAGAGGGATTCAAAGGAATCAGGGTTGTAAGGGTGAGGAATGTGTTCAAAAATCGAAGAGTGGGAGGTGAAAGATGAGGGCAGAGGAAGGCGAGGGAAGACAGAACAGGAAAAATCGGTGTATGAAAGACAAGGGGGAGTAGACACAGAAAGAAATTCCTCAAGCAGTTTTGACATGGCAGGTCCAAGAGAGAGCATGGTGGCTCTTGCTTCCACAGAAGGAGCATAGGTGGAGGCAGTCATCTTTGTGCAGGGAACTGCACTGGGGGACGGCGTCAGCGCCCCGAACGTTCCAGTTGATGCAAATTGTCTGGTTGTTGGGGGTGACGAGACCAGAGCCTGGGCTACATTTTGCCCAAACTGGTTTGCCGTCCGCGAACTTGATGACGACGGTGGCTTTGAGGTGGAAGAAGATGTTGTGCCCCCCTTGTGCGCAGATAAGGCAGACGGCGCTGGAGGAGGGCTTGCTGCTGCCTGATGGAAAGGGCTGAGAGTAAGAGTTGGGTAAGAGAGGACCTCGTGGCCAGTTCCTTTGTGAGGAAGAGCCGGAATTACCACGGTAGGATGGCCCTGACCGCTGCACTGCCGTCTGGGAAGCAAGGAGGTCTTGAAACTCCTTTTGGATTTTGTGGCTCTCCTTGGTCAAACCAAGTAGTGTTTGAAAGTCCGGTTCGGTCCGGTTTTTTGATGCCCAGGGGCGTTAACCGTAACCGTAACCGGTCTGCCTTTTCCCCAGAAGTCAAAAGACCAGACCGGACCGCAAAAAGACCGCAGACCGCGGTTTTTTGCGGTCTATAGACCGGTTTCGGTCTGCATCAGTTTTAACCGGTTTATGACCGGTCTTTAGGCCAATATTTTAAAATTATGAATCGGTAAATTTATTAACATCTCTAATAGCTTCAAAACGAGCCCAAGAACGTTAAATCCCGTTAGGTATTGGTGCTTCTATAAAATAAGTCTGGTACATCTATTATTCCCAAAAGTAATTTACATTTTAATTCATATCTCTCTCGTTTTTTTACCAAATCGTACGTTCTTGGGTGCGTTTTAAAGGGTATTTAAGGGGCTACAAAAAACCGGTCCAAACCGGTCAAGACCGGTTCACGTTAACCGGTCTTTTTGCGGTCTTTACATTTCAAAAATAAAAGACCGTAACCGCAGGTCCGGTCTTTTGCGGTCTTGGTCCGGTCTGGTTACGGTCTTTTTCCAGTCACGAGACCGGACTTCCAAACACTAAAACCAAGAGCCTTGTCATAATCTGATGCACTGAATTTAAGGTGGCAGCTTCTGTGATCTTGTCGGAATTCAAGCTCCATTTTTTTCCAAGCATCGTAGAGTTCATCCCTTTTATTTAGCATGTTGAAAAAGTTGAAATATTTCTCAAACCAAGTGGTGTGTTCACCATCAGCGCCGGACTTGTCCCTGGAGATTTGAAAACTCCACATGTTGGCCGCTGCCTCTGACCACTGACTGCATGTCAGGGACAATTCCTTTCCAAAACGATTTGAAAGCTTGTCTATATTAAGAATATAAATACCCTTAGTTTCCCCAGGTGCAGGGTTTGATTTGACAGTAGGAAGGGTTGATGCCTCATCAATCAAAGTTCAGAGATTTCGGGTCAGGAAGAAAGGAAGTGGCACTGCAACACAGATTTCAGTGTCGTACAAAGCTTGGGAGAATTCAATAGGAATGGGCTCTCCAACAATTCTTTCTACATGGTTGGTCCCATCCATACATCGCCTTTTAGAAAGCCTGAGATCTTCTGCAGGAATGTCATCATCATTCCTTTTTTTCTCCTCCTTTTCTTTAAGCTCATCATCAGCAAGGCACCTCGCCAAACTATTATAAATATGCTTGCAAACGGAAGCAAAGAAGGACAGGATCCTTAATCGAGCAAGATCTTCGGGATCAATCGTGATCAACGAAGCAGCTTCTGATCCCAGTTTTGGGTGATGCACTGGGTCATTAGTGTTTGGAAGTCCGGTCTTGTGACTGGAAAAAGACCGTAACCAGACCGGACCAAGACCGCAAAAGACTGGACCTGCGGTTACGGTCTTTTATTTTTGAGATGTAAAGACTGCAAAAAAACCGGTTAACGTGAACCGGTCTTGACCGGCTTGGACCGGTCTTTTGTAGCCCCTTAAATACCCTTTAAAACGCACCCAAGAACGTACGATTTGGTAAAAAAACGAGAGAGATACGAATTAAAATGTAAATTACTTTTGGGAATAATAGATGTACCAGACTTATTTTATAGAAGCACCAATTCCTAACGAAATTTGACGTTCTTGGCTCGTTTTGAAGCTAATAGAGATGTTAATAAATTTACCGATTCATAATCTTAAAATATTAACCTAAAGACCGGTCATAAACCGGTTAAAACCGATGCAGACCAAAACCGGTCTATAGACTGCAAAAAACTGCGGTCTGCAGTCTTTTTGTGGTCCGGTCTGGTCTTTTGACTTCTTGTGAAAAGGCAGACCGGTTACGGTTACGGTTAATGCCCCTGGGCATCAAAAAACCGGACCGAACCGGACTTTCAAACACTAAAGGTCATGGTGGATCTGGCGTCGTTATCGATTTCAATCTTCTTGTTTTTTTGTAAAATGTTTGGCAGGGAAAGACTTTTCAGGAGCTGGATGATGGCCAGTGAAGTATGGGTGCATGGGGCACGAGGCTGAGGGGTGATGGAAGTGTCAGTTACTGTGGAGTCGGTCATGGCGTGAGGTGTGGAGCACAAGAAGCCTCGGGAAGACATTCAAAAATTTTAAGGTAGGAGTTTCTGCACATCAGAACCAGATCCATAAGATGGGGAGAAGCACTCCCCCAAAGCATAGACTTATATTAGCATCTCTAAGTCAAATGTCTTGTTCTGACGCGCATTGTTATCTTATCCTAATATGAGCATGCACTCGTTCCTCATGCTTACTCATCACGGAATGCTTAGCCAATGCTTAGCTTGATTTTGTAAGATCTTCCTTCCAATTTTCACTATGTACTCATATATGTACATTTGAAACAGAACAATGTAAAATTACTCCTCATGAAATCCGTCACCGTCTAAGGGCCTAAGGCTTCAGTGTGAACACTCTATTTGGTAAAGTGTTTGGTGGTGTTGATTCCGTCACTCCACATTTAGAACTTGGGGTATCTTTAACGAAAGTTGTCTGAAATTTGAAACCTTCCACTGTTTTTACAATTCACAGAAACCTATTTGAGCCATTGGTAATTCTATGAAAAAATCTACGTAAGTTGTTGTGTAAACTTGGTGTAGACGGCAAGGGGTACTGACTGGTAAATTCCGAGACACCATCTTGGGGGGGAGGGGGGTCCAGCAGGGCCTCTAAACACGTAACTTTATCTAAAATAAATAGGCTGAATGTATTACATTTTTGACTTGTATCTACCAGTTTTAACATTACTTTCTGCCCTCAGCCAGTAATACAATGCCCCGGCTGTCTGGAAGTACAACCTTAGGTCGCATATCCCAGCAGACCATCCACGCACAAACGTGGAGCTATACAAAAAGCATTACAAGATCAGTGATGAAGAAATGGTGCTGATGCAAGGAGTTTACCTTTCTAAGGTGCACGAATGTCGAAGAAACAAAAGAAAAAGGATGGCCTTGTGATATCTGAAGGCCATAGCACGAGACTTGCAATGGGGTGAGTTGTCTGTGTGCTTGTTCGGCGGAAAAGCCTGACTGTGACCTAACTAGATCTCTTGATGGAGTTGTTGACAAGGAGTCTGCAGAAGAGACAGAGGGTGACGAAGCAGGTGTGGCACTGATTCCATTTATCAGTACCATCTTACATGTCGTGGGCTCCTTGAATGACCTTTGGTGGATTGGTTTTCTGATGAGGAATGTCGAAAGAACACTGGACTTTGGGGCATGGTAGGAAGCGGCGGTGGCCAGAATAATCACGTGTTTTTCCTTATTTGGAAGGTGCTAGAGGGGGGGAGGTCTCCTAGATGGCTTAAACACATAACATAACATTGTGTTGTGTAGTCTGATGAGGTGGGCTTTGCTGAATAAGCTACATGGCCCATCAGTCTAAGTGCGCAAACAAGTACAACAAGCCCTGGCTTGTAGGCTGTAGCCGACCCTTTGGGGGGTCAGACCAAGAGGCATCAGATCTTCCGATCCCGACCATTATTCCCACAGCATGAGGGTACCACCCTCATACCATATTAGGGAATCTTGCATGATGCGGCTTGAGACAGCTTATTCTGTGAGATCAAAATGGCATGAGTACTGCATTCACCTTTGTTCGAATCTCCAGACGCATCCTTGCTTCAGAAAATGGTCAAATAAGTTTGTGCATAGTGTGAAACCACATTCTCTCTCTTCAGACAATTCTACTCTACCAGCCTCATTCAATCAAATTGACTAAAAAACTCCTACTGGCAACACTCCCCTTCATCTCTCATAAATCATTCTCAGTGAAGAGGAAGGAATAAGACTAGGCATTCCAGATGGCTATCCTCTGTCAGCACCATCACTGATGTGCACCATGCAAACCCGTTGTAAGTTGTACCTTCTATCCATCCCCAATGAGTGAGGTAATCCTCAAAAAAAATACCAATCCTTCGTCATTTCATCATTAAATTCCAATCCCACATATTCAATTACGAATGCCATTGATTCCATTTGTTTTCTGCAGTGTTACTGCCAACTCAAATGTCTTTTGTTGAAATTGTCTTCCCATATTATCCTCGCTTCTTTTTTAGAATTTACATTACCTCTAATTGGGTGTAGTTTCGTGCGTACTATGAATAGCTGGTAGGTTTCATATATATATCCTGTAGTACACGAGTGGACTCAAAATTTGCTCAAAATCGACACTCAAACGCTTGTGCAGCGGAGTTGTTTGAATTTGATGGGAATGCTAGATGCCGCTGACATGCCGTCCTTCGGATATCACCGCTTGTGCTTTGTCATAAGTGGATCTGACGGCCAGGATCGGTGGATCTGACACCTCTTGGGTCAGACGATCCGAGGCCGCAGAGCACTGAGCAGACATGACCCTGTGATCTAGGTAACCAAACACACGGGACCCATCTACGGACGAAAACGACCCCCACGAACGACGACGCCCCATATAACTGGCCGATTTGTAAGCCACAGAGTGAGCGGGTCAAGAGCGGGTGAAGCTGGCGAGGAAATTAACGATCAAACGAAGTAGATTAGAATCGCAGCTTGGAGTACTTTCCTTTGTTTTGTAGACTGAATTTCGAAGAGATAAAGCTGATAGAAGAAATTATTTACATAGGAAACAATTGATTCTAAGAAACACCCAGCAGCCTAGGCTGACAATGCGCTGAGTTCGATATTTACGTTGTTCATACCGTGAGCTAAGAAAAGTCAAGACATTGCACCCCTCAACCACACTTTCACGTCCGCAATCTCCTTCACTTCATCCGCCGCACCCTCATCATTCTCGACGAACCCATAGCGTTTCCCTATGTAAAACGATTGACCGAACGCTTCGAGGACTGCCCCGTGTGAGGTGCCCGCAGCTTTGATTGAGCAGTCGAGGATGACTCCGTGTTTCGCGCGAATTTCAGCAGACTGCGGAAGGGTGGCGATTAGAAGACCAGCACAAGGAAGGGGTAGACGGGCTTACAACATCTCCCCAGGGGAATGTACGGTTGATGGTATATGTAAATTCGGGCGTTTGGCCGTAGGCCCAATCCCATGTCTGCGAAGCAGAACATCAATCAACTTGGGGAGGTCTTACGGGAGGGAGAAAAAGAGTTACCGGGAGCTCGGCCATGCCTTTCCGGATATATTCGACGTTTTTTACGTCGTCGGTTTCGTGGACAATACATGGCTAGCAGACAAGCAACCGGTTCTTGAGAAATAAGTGCGCATATATAATGTAGAGGCTTACTTGCTCGTTTACTCCATACTCTTTTTGAAATTCGTTAACAACGGCAGCTGTGAACGCTTCATGTGTGACATTTGTGTCGTATTGCTGCAGGTTGCAAACAGGAGAGCGGACCGATGCAACGCCCTTTGTAACCATGCTATCCTTCAAATGAGCGATGTTATGTCTGAGCCTTCTCTAGGAGCAAAGCGATGAATACATACCTTATCCTTGGGACGTAATAAATCGCCCAAAGTATCGAGCCGCGTTGAGATGAGCATCGTGCCGTGGTGATAGGCGCGTTTATTTACGATTTTGTAGGCTGAGCCTGAGACGTGTCTACAAATATGTCATTGTCAGCCTTGCTTTTTTCAGTGAATGTAGTATGGGAGGAAGGCTAGAAAATATGAGTAAGAGGCATGTTTCGAAGGGCCAAAACCCTGCAAGACGCGGGGCACGATGAAGGACGCCACTCATCTTATCAGCCCCAACACAAATATCGTTCCTCTCATTCAAAACTGCCGTCGTAACACCCAGCGAACGCACGGCGCGTAAGACGATCTGCCCCGTTACATGGCGGTCAAAGGAGGTGCGCGGGAGGTGAATGGAAAAGTTTGTATTGCCTAGGTCCTTGAGAACTCATTAACCGAGGAGAAACGCGGAGTGAAAAGTGGAGAAAAAGACATACATGATAGACCGTCCCACCCCCACTCCTTCTCCTTAGGAATGGAACACCTGGGTGCGAACGTAGCGCGTCGAAGTTTACCTCCTTCCACGGGTTCTGATTTCTGCCAATGACGACGCACGGCTCGTCGCGGTATATGAGCAAGAGCGGGTCCGACGGCGATTTATGTCTGAATAGCCTGAATGAATTTGAGTCGCGATCGGGAGAGCAAAAGGGAAGAAGGTATATGCACCAGTCCTCTAATGTCAGGTTGAAATACGGATTTGTGGAGTTGGAGATGTAAATCGCGTGTTGCGCGCTGACCGCCGAGTTCGGTTGGTGGTGAGCGTTGAGGGTGAAAGATCTTACGGTGTTCCTCGCGGTGAAAGGGCGGAAGCGGAGGAGGGTGGACATGCCACGACTCTAGAAATTCAATTCACTTTATTGAACCCTGACACACTCGGTTCCTTCTCACTCGGAACTGTCTACGGATGACCAGCGTTCAGTAGATAGATACTTTCTAACAAAGTCTTCTAATGCCATTCCATGACCTCCTCCGCCACCCCAACATCATTTCTGAATTCCCTTGTAGATCGGGTTTTGGACTTCATGTATCGGTAATTTGCCTGCTGGTGAGCCGGGGATCGTTTTTGTAAGGCCCTGTTGGCCAGGAAAAGTCAGAAAGGGGATAACACGAAAGAAACACAAGGGAGACGCACGAGTTTCTCGAACATGCAAGAGTTGAGTGTTCGTTCGGGTTTGCGGCAGAGGTGGTATTCCTGCGAAAGACGGCACTCAGTGTTGAAATGAAGAAGGGTTCGAAATCAGTGGTAACGATTGGGATTACTACTTTCCTGGTTATTGCGCTCTAAGCATTCCCAGTGGGATTCGAATTGTTGCAAGCAGTTCTCCCGCATCTTTGTTATTCTGCGCGTGGTTCCAATTAGTATGAGTGTGGAAGTAAAGACGGGATATGGGGTCGCAATATACGGCGGCCATTTGCATGTCGAGACCATCCGAAAAGTAAGGAAGTGGAGAAAGTCACGCCTACACGCCTGGGTTGACTGCACACCCGATTAAGACGTCCGGACACCCGGAAACACAGCGGTTTGAACGTAGCTGCAGCCCAACTCGCCGCGGTATGGCCAATCCAAAGGAAGCAATGCAGTGGGATGTTTCCAAGGAACCGTCATAAATGAACGGTACTCACAAATCCGTCGCACACCTTGTCACCCTTCTCCCTTCCTTCAAACAGTGTCCAGGATCACGGCTCTCGTTCTTACAGAGCATAAAATCATCTATCCAGGCCACACATTAGCTTCCTTCGCCTCCTTATTCACTTAAACAAGCAAACATACCGTTGAATTCTTTGCAATACGCTCCCAAAAAGAACGCCGCGCTCTTCAACGGCGCACTCGTTACGCCAATTTCTGCTACCTTTGGGACGTCCGCCGGCATAGGTGTCGAGTCCTGGTATGCATGGGTGGACAACGAACCGGACTGTGAAGAAGTCATGGTACGGGAAGGAGGTGTGATTAGGTCACACCAATTGTAAGGGGTCACATCACGCGTGTCCTACTGATTTTTCTCTTCCTGACCTCCATGTTTTGTCAAAGAGTGCATTTCAACTTTGGTTTCTTGAAAGATGGGCAATTCATGCGCCATCTTTCACCGCCTCGTGCTCTTCAGCGGAGGGCGTTTTCTAGCCAGCGACCCGATGCAAACAATCCTGAAAACGCGCTGTCGGACGTCAAGGCAAAGCCAAAAGCAACTACTCCTCTTCGTCGGTCTGCGTCAGCTTCTTTGCCGATACGCTCCAATCCGACGCCAACCCGGGGGGAAATCCAACCTGTATTTACCCTTGCAACTTCTGAACGATATTTGCTTTCGCGGTTGCGCGGACATAGCAATCTTCCACCCCGCGCACAGGCACTCCACGAGTCGTGGTGGGTGCCGAAATGGGGTCAGGATGGTAAAGAGGGAGAGGTGTTCGTTTTTTCCAACGGTAGTTTTGTGTGTTGGGGATTAGGGGAAGACGAAGCCAAGAGGTTCGCTGTTGAAGTGATTGGAAACGCCCCTGGAATTGAGGTAGAGCCTTTGAAAGAGCCCGAGACGGAGGGGCTGGAATTTGTGGTTGACCCTATCGAGTTGAGTGGTGCGTATTTTTTTGAGCTGAATAGATGACTGGATTTTTGGGGCGGTTTAGAAAAACGCGACTCCAGGGTGATTTGATCATTCTTGGGCAGACTTCGCCTGTCAACGAGGATGACTTGCTCCCTAAAAATCTTCCACCCATGGCGTTCCCGACAGACACTCTTCTCGCGCGTTACGCGTTCTCTCAAGCCCTGTCCCGATCTACGGCGCTTTCTGCGCTTGAGGTTTCCTTGGACGACTACCTAACGTCCATGGCCCGACTTCCTCATGCCCTGGCGCAAACTGGAAAGCCTGGCATGGGACGAACACAGTTGATCAAGAAACTGGGTGAACTCATGAAATTCAGACAAGGGTTGAACTTGAATAGGGAAAATTTCAGCGAAACACCGGACTTTTACTGGGCTGAGCCAGAGCTGGAGCGTGCGTCAAACCAGTTTTGATAGTTTTACTTGATGCGACTTTTGGAATAGGTTACTTCAAGTCTCTAAGCAACGCTCTAGAAGTCAGGGCTCGGATAGACTCTGTCAACGAGAAAATCACGTATGCCGCCGAGGTATTTTACATTGTCTGTCCGCACTTTCTGGCGTACGAAATTTTCTCCTTAGGTTCAATCAATGCTACGACAACTCCTTACCGAGTCTTCGACTCATTCGATGGAACTGATTATTATCGCCCTCATCGCGGTGGAAGTTGTCATCGTGCGTCCCGTCTCTCGCTTTAACCTTCTTGATCTCATACAATCTTAGGCGATAATCCGTGATGGACCTGAGCTGTGGGAAATGATTGTAGGACCTAAAGAGAAGACGGAGAAAGATGACGCAAAGTTTGCCTTGCAAGGATGACATTATTCCACGAGACGTCTAGGAGGATGGCGCTGAAGACTGGAGGACGGCATCGTCAACACAAACCTCGACTCACTATAGTACCACCACAAACTCGACTCACTATATAGTACTATAAGCACTAATTCTATGTTGTTATAACTTATAATTTATCTTACATAGCCGCCATCTTTGCACACCTTTGCCAAAAGCAGCCATCACCGACCCGGTACAGTGTACTGATAACCCTACTAACCGTCGCAATATCGTTGTGTGAACATGCACCACAATGTTGACGCTACCGACGGCCACCATCGACCCCATGTATCCATCGCCGTGGGTGGCCACCTTCCTTTTGGTTCTCGAAACCCCATGCATCCCAGCCCAGCGCGCTTCCCAGCTTATACATTTGAAGTATCACCCCCTGCATACGAAGGTGATCACTCCAACCCTTTTGATACACAGCACGCGCATGCGTCAAATACCCCTTTGGATAACGCACGACCTTTCATAGCCAATGCACGACCTCACTCGGCCAACGAACGGCATCATCGACCTTCGAGTCGTTCCACCAGCTTTTCCGCGATTGGAACCCCCACAATGGCTTTCCCAGAACCCCAAATCTACCGTTCTGTTTCGCACAAGCAGTCAAGTCGGGAATCGACCCTGCAGCTCCCGAGTACGAGTAGACCTCAAAATCACCACCACAGTCAGAGCGATGTCGGCCCAACGCCCTCTCGCTCAATTGGCATCCACCAAGATCCCTCCGTAGCGTCGTTTGGGTCCACTGCGTCATCGTATTATCAGAATAACGATGATTACACTTATACGTCTCCGGTGAACGAGGTCTGCATTGATCTACGCTCGGATTCCTTGCGCAGCTAATAACTTCACTTCAGTTTTTCGGGGACGATACCGATAATATCACGCGCGAGCTATCCGACTTTACGTACGTCCCGTTTTATGCTTATATTCCCGCTTCCGTCCTATACGTAAGCTCTGCAACAGACTCAATTCTGAAGAAGGTCTCCGCCGCTTTCAGAACGGGGAATTGGCTGAAGCAGACCAGCAATGGCATCGACTAGTTCCAAACGAGGCAATAGAGGCACTGGGAAAGGAAGAGGTTCAAAGGCAGTCTGTGTTGTTTGAGGTCTTCACAGCTGAGAGAGAATATGTCGCTGATTTGGAAGCTGTGGAAGAGGTACGCATATTTTTCGAGCTTTTCCGGAATGAGAATCTTACTATTGCTTCTCAAGGTCTTCATTGCGGGCCTTATGAAAGCTTCACCACCCATAATTCCCGAACCGCAATTGTCGGGTTTCATTCACGAGGTTTTCGGGAACCTTCATCAAATACTGACGCATCATCAGGCCATGCTCGCGGCCCTCTTTTCTCGGCAACGCGATCAGCACCCTCTCATACAATCTGTAGCCGACATCGTGCTTGACAGTGAGCACTACTCCCTTCTTCTCTATCAAATTTATATTTACTTTATCGCCGCAACTTAGCCACCCTCAAATCAGATTTCCGCTCCGCATACGAAATATACATCAAGCACTACCCTCTCTCAGAGTCGCATCACCGCCAGCAGCTCAAGAAGAACCGTGCATATGCCACGTTTATTGAATCCGTCTCGATGGATCCGCGGATAAGAAGGCGTGATTTAATCACCTTCCTCTCTCGCCCTGTCACTCGATTGCCTCGACTAAACCTCCTCCTTGAGCAAATATTGAAGCGCACCGACGAGACGAATGGTCATCCAGACGTGGAGACCCTGCCTATCATCCTAGGGATATTAAGAGATTGCATCAAGAGCACGCAGCCGGGAATCGAGGCTGCGGAGAGCAAGGTCAAGTTTTTGGAACTGTGCGAGAGCTTGGTGTACCAGAAAGGAGAAATAATTGTGTGTTGCCTTGGTGTTGCCTTTTTGCGGGTCATTCTTACCTTTCTCAGGATATGGATCTCTATGATGAGAGTAGAACTCTTGTTTACTCAGGCCCCGTCTCAAGACGCGCTCGCTCCGAGACAGGGTTTTCTTCTGGCGGCTGGACCGAGCTAAATGTTGCGCTGCTGGACAACTTTTGTGAGGCGTTATCACGTTCCTGTTATTTTGCTTAAATGACCTCCTAACCACAGTCTTGCTGACCCGTGAAGAAAAACGTCCCAATGGCTCGGTCAAAAGGCTCCTTATGTCTAGAGTATGACAATCGTGCTTCATTTGTACGAAAAGAAATTTAACATTTTCATCAGCCGATTCCACTTTCCTTCCTGCGGCTTGGGACCTTCGATTCAGCACCCGAAACAAGACGGGAGCGCGCTGAAGATGGTGGAATACTCGACAGCCTCCGCTACCAAACCGTGACTTTGTATCCGTTTACGGTTTACCATGCATCTAATCTTTCAACCCGGAGATACACACTTTATGTGACGACGGAGGCTTTTCGAAAACGATGGCAATCAGCGCTTGTGGACGCCATTGGCGTCAACAAGGTCAGACAGGACAGTAACATGGTAATTCAACCGCTGTGGTATCTTCTTTGTTTGCGATGGTTGACGAGTAGTGCAGTGGTTTGACCCTCAAAAAGTCTCGGACAACTTTCTCCGAGTGCCAGGCCGGAGAAGTGAACCTGCTGTCCGAACGTCTGGAAGAATCAACAGTGGTGTTCCCTTTAGTGTGTCACTTTTCGCACTTCGCACTTTCTTTTGTTGTTGAGATTTAAATTCACAGACTACGGTGGACGCAGGTTCATCGTCGTGGGATGCACATCTGGGATATACCTTGCCATCTACGGGACAGAACGTACGTTTCTCTATTCAACACCAGTATGCTTCCTTACATCTGTTACGGTTTGTAGAGTTCCGAAAGGTGCTGAATGATGTCAACCCGGCCTCTATCTCCGCCTTGCAGACGCTAGGCGACAAGACGTTCAATAAATTGGTTGTACACGCCGATGCATCCATATTTTCGTACTCTCTCGAAACAATTGTGCGGGTGGGGCTTGGACATGCACATCCACAGACGCTTGAGGTCGTGGCAGAACGAATTGGAGGCAGCGATAACAATATACTCTTCTGCAGACATTTGCACATTGGACATCGGTTTTTACGTCGGTTTTCTTTTCCAAAATTCAGCTTTAACTTTCGTTCTAAATCGTTTTTTAGTCGTCTACGCCTCCAAGAGGCGATTGAGCACAACGCTGAACCTTCATGTCTTGGAAGCGATTGATACCTCAAAAGTAATACCATCGCCAACTCGGACTGCAGCCACATCTATCGTTTCTTATCGGCCATATGGTGATGTGAGCAACTTTTCAACGAGAAGCAGTAAACGGATGCCTTATGTGCACCTAGCCAGGATATGTACCAAAGGATGCGTACGACATTGTTGGGCTTGTGAAGACAATTGGGATCTGCACTCACGATGGAATCGTAACCGTTGATCCTACGAAGTAAGTCTTGATTATCGAATCGACCTCCCTGTTCTGAATATTTCTGTCTAGTCTTGCACTCTCCGACGTAGCCGTGGTGCCCGACCTCCAGGGTGCAAATAATAACCCTGCAGTTGCAACGCTGAAGGTCAATCTGGAAGGTGCGAAGCCGCTCGGTTTGGTGCGGGTGGATGCAAATGAGCTTTTGGTTGTGTATGATGGTTAGTTTTTCTCTGTCCTACCTTGCTTTGACCAAGCTGATGACAGAACTATAAACAGTCCTTGGGTGCTACATCAACAGACGTGGACAACCAACGCGTAGATGCGGATACATCAAGTGGGAAACAAAGGCAGTATCCTATGCTCACCGGCAGGGTCACGTCCTCCTGTTTTCCCCAGAGTTCATTGAGATCCGGAGCGCGACTAACGGGCGGATCGTACAAGTCATTGAGGGGAATGATATTCGATTATTGTTCTCTGGGCCAATGACGACCAAAGACGATCCGATAATATTTGCGATGAGGGGTGACAAAGACGACGGGGGTGGGGTCAGCGAGAAGATAGTAGCGTTGAAAGAAACGTCGGAGATCGCGCCAGTAACTCCACTGAGCGCATTGGTGCCTGCGATGTGGGACGAATGGGATATGTGATGTTTCATCTTTCCAGGACGGTTTACTTATTTGGTGGTTTCATAGAGAGGAAGTTAGAAAGTAAAAATTAGTTTGTATTTCTAATGGACCCTTTTCATGGTATTCGGATTCTCCTGTAATTTTCAGGTCTAATACATTGATTGATGCTGGATATTTCTAAACCAATTCTTAATCCTGCATTCTGCCCTCATCGTCGGTGGCCTCGGTCGTATACACCGCACACAGACCGTCGTCTCCCGCACTCACAACAACTGATCCACCCAAACCCAACGATGCCCCAAGGACAGGACCTTGGTGACCTTTATGCGTGCGCAACAAAGATCCGTTTCTCCCGTCCCATGTTCGCAGTGTTTTATCAGCCGAGGCCGAAATTAGTAGGTAAGGTTTTGGTGCTGGGTGAGCCAACAACGTCGTGATCGCATCCTACAAAAACAATGGCACTTATGACAGAGAAGCTGAGAAATAAAGCAGGAACAAACCTTGTGCTCCAGCGTCGCGCGCAGCCTCATGGTGCTCAAATCCCAAATACACGCTTTTCCATCCGTAGCTCCCGTTACAGCAACACCAGGACCAGTAGAACTCGTTCCCGTAATATCGATAAACACGACCGCCTCGATGCTCTCTCCCTCTGTGTGTCCGCCAAGGGTGTTGACGACTTCACCCTTGCTCAGACTTATGACACGCACGCCCCCGGCTGCACCGCCTACTACTGCAAGTGTGGACGAGGGGTTGATTCCCAGGGATGTTATCCCGTCGAGATTGAAGCGGGCATCATCTGGGGTTAGTTTGAATATGGGTGCTGGGGATCTGGGGTCCCAGAATATGAGGATGCCGTCGGCGCATGCGGATAATATTCTTTTGCCTGTTTTTTTGGTGGGGGGTCAGTAATGGATATATGTGTATTAACGGGAGGAAGGTATAAGTACCGTCTGGAGTGAATTCACCGCAGTTCACCGCTCCCGTGTGTCCCGCAAAGACTTGCATCGTCTTTCCGGAAGGTACTGGTTTGCCAATTCAGTCAGAAAAGTTGAAGATGTATAGTTGAGGCGTACATTGCCAAAGCCACAAGGTAGAGTCGTTTGAGCCTGCCAATAGGACGGCACCTTTTGGATGCCATCGAAGAAACTACCGATCTCGTTAAGTATGGAAGAAAAAAAAGAAGTTGACTCAACCATACCATAACTTCGTCAGGACCTTGCAGCTCCGTCAAAAATTCCCAAATTCTATAGTTATCCTTCCCCACCCGTCGCCAAATGCGAATTTTACCGTCCATGCCTCCGGTCGCGATCATCTCGCCATCCGAGCTCCAAGCAATACTCGTCACGCTATCGGTGTGTCCAGTTAATTTGACGATGACTTCACCGTCGGTTATGTCCCAAATGTAACCCAGATCGTCCTCGCCCCCAGAGGCGGCCAGTGGTTCGGTGGGATGGCAAGCGATGACAAAGACCGATGAACCATGGGTTAGAAAATGTTGCACAGAGTTGTCGTCGAGTTTACTTGATGACCCAGAGGCGGATAGATCGCCGAGAGTGTCGCCCGCTTCGTCCTCCTCATCGTCTTCTTCCATGGGGTGGTCCCCGTCGTCTTGGACTTCGGCAAGGATGTCATCTTCGGTGATGAATTGCTCTCCCTCCTCTTCATCGTCGAGTAGGACGTCCTCTGTTGCGCGTGTCTTTTCAGCTGCCATTTTTCCTTGCGTGGATAGTGGTGGAATTGAAGATGTGTAAGTTCAAGGGTTGGCTGAATAATTGGCTTGTTACTATATCGGGCAGAGATAAGCACGTGTGCATCTGATCTGAAGCCTATCATCCTGACCAGTGGATGTCACGTATTCAGCGCGTATCCATTCTCGCTCAGTAAGATTCGCTTGTAAATGTAAAATACGCTGAGAATACCTTGGGATACACTGGTATTTTGTACAATTTCTCACTGTGAATTTTTTGTCGTCGATTGGTGAATTTTACGAATCGTGTGAATCAAATATGGAAAGAAATGAAATATAAATGTCCTCCACGTCACTTGTTTCCCCTCACCATCATGAAATTCTTCTCTGTCTTCGCTGCGCTCCTCATAGGCGGCGTAAGCGCTTCCAACGTTATTGAGCTCACTCCCGAGAACTTTGATAGTGTCATTGGGAAAGGAACACCAGCTCTCGTCGAGTTGTATGTGAAATAACTGGATTACTAGTTGTGGTTTGACTAATACTACTTCCTGTTCTGTAGTTTCGCACCTTGGTGGTGAGTCGTCGTTGTTGAGCGTTCGTCTTATGATTTTTCTGAGCGTTTAACTAGTGGTCATTGCAAAGTGGGTCTCAATGAACACTAACTTGGCCATCACTCACACCTGCACGTAGAACCTCGCACCTATATACGAGCAACTCGCAGACGCGTATGCACATGCGAAGGACAAAGTTGTAATTGCAAAGGTAGATGCTGATGGTGCGGGTAAGGCGCTGGGAAAACGGTTCGAGGTGACAGGGTATCCTAGTGCGTAATTTTTCTTAGTATCTCCCTCCCTCCTGCTCACTGTCGTCAATTATTAGCTCTAAAATGGTTCGACGCGAATGGCAAAGAATCAAAGTACGAGTCAGGACGCGATCTCGAGGCCCTTAGTGCATAGTGCGTTTCACCAGGCCTTCATTTTCAATTCTATTCATCTGGTGTTCAGTGTTACACAACATTCCGGCGTAAAATCAAGAATACCCGCGCCACCACCCACGAACGTCGTCCAACTCGACGTGCACAACTTTGACAGTGTTGCACTGGTTCGTGCTCATGCCTCGTTAGGACAGATGTGTTCTAATTTATCTTTCTAGGATTCGTCCAAGAATGTTCTTGTTACCTTCACCGTAACTCCAATTTCATCAGTCCCTGCGTCATCATAACCCTGACCACCCCATTATCAGGCTCCATGGTGTGGCCATTGCAAGAATCTGAAACCCATCTATGAGGATAGTGAGTCATGATCCGCAAATTTAATTTGAACACAGCTGAATCAAGTTATTTAGTTGCCACGAACTTTTTGCTTGAGAGTGATGTGAGTCTCCTTATCACATCAACAACTTACATCCTCAAGTCCCTTTCCGTAGTGTGTTGTTGCAAACATTCAAGCCGACGACAAGAAGAACGCCGATATCAGCGAAAAGTACGGAGTCACTGGTTTCCCAACCATCAAGTTCTTCTCCAAGGGTAGTAAAGAGGCCGAAGACTATGACGGTGGACGCACAGAGGGGGACATCGTCAAGTTCCTAAATGAGAAATGTGGGACTAAGCGTGCTGTTGGCGGTGGGCTGAATGATGAAGTGAGTAGCTCCAATAGCTCCAATCCATGCGGTTGCCTCATTGCTCGCATCGTGTTATTAGGCCGGCCGCCTGGCGCAATTCGACGAGTTGGCGAACAAATTCTTCGTCGCCGCTGCTGATATCAGACAGACCATCTACAAAGACGCTGTCAAGCTGGCCGCATCAGCTGGTGTCGCATCCAAGCACTACATCCGGGTCATGGAGAAGGTTGTGAACAGCAGCGAAGCCTACATTGAGAAGGAATTGAAACGGTAAGTTCCGTGCCCTGTGGGTCCGATGTCTTCGCTGAAACAAAAAATGTGATTGCTACCTTGTGCAGGCTGGGCGCTATCTTGAAAAAGCAAAATCTTGCTCCGTCAAAGCTGGACGAGATCAAGATTAAAATTAATATCCTGAGTGCGTTTAGCGAGAAGAAGGCGGACGCAAAGGTCGGTCGGGCGGAATCTGAGCTGTGATGAAATAACATACATAAATCGTATTTGATTAACGGCAAAATAATATTACTGATTGCAACATCGCGTGCTCCGGTTCGGCGTCTGTTATCTTGACTGGAAAAAAAGTTGCCTCGCGTCGATGGGCACCGGCCTCGTGTATGGGAAGGATTGGACGCGTGATCGACCTTGAGGCTGTTGGCGACTATGGGGGACCGATTGTATCAGGGGAGTGGCCCACAATCCCTCCTTTAAGCGTATGATCCATCGACCCTTTGTCCCTTCTCCATATCTTCTTCTCGAGTGGCTACTTTCCTCCTCGACTTCATTCCGCAACGATGTCTTACTTTTGGGGTTTGAGGCCGCCCTTTGCACTTGGTCGGAAAAACAGTTCTCCCTCGGCGTCCTCCCCAACCACGGAAGAGGTGATCGAACCTTTCATTCCTGATTTTCGAGATATCGATGGACCAATTATACCCAACGAATTGCTGGAACTCGCTGTATATCGCTACAGGCCATCGCGCAGAGCCTGGAAGCACGTTACATTGGAGAGAAGGAGGGACGAAGATGTAGAAGATGATGGGGTGAAGAAGAAAATACACCCAACGAGCGTGAAAGTCGTTACGTGGAATGTTGACTTTAATAACAACCACGAGATGGAACGACTCAATGCTTGTCTGCGACATCTTGAGAGAGACGTGCTGGGATGTAAAGACGGCGAAGCGCCCGCGGAGCCGTGCGTCATTTTGTTGCAGGAAGTAAAGGAACAGATGATACCGCACCTCCTCCAAGACGAGTGGGTGCGGCAGCACTTTATGGTTACGCCGAAGACGAAGGACAAGTGGCCCAAGGATGCGTACTACGGGAATATTACTTTGGTGTCGAGGGATTTGACGGTTGTGAAGGCGCAGATATTGCATTACGGATACTCGACCATGCAACGCTCTGCGTTGGCAGTGTCTATTGTCATGGGGGTTCCTGAGTCTGGAGGGGGCGGGGAAACGGTTGTGTGCATTGTCAACACGCACCTGGAGTCACTGCCTGCAGGAGCGGACGCACGGCCGAGGCAGCTACAGCTGTGTACACGATTCTTGAAGCAGGATTGGGTACAAGGCGGGATGGTGGCGGGGGATATGAATGCGATTGGACCATCGGATGCGATGATCACGAAGGAGGTTGGGCTGAGGGATGCATGGAGGAAGGGGGATGAGACTGGGTTCACGTGGGGGTATCAAGGAGGAGGAAACTTTCCTCCGAATAGGCTGGATAAAATGTTGTTTTTGCCGAGGCGGGGGTACAAGGTGGATGAGCCTAGGAGAATTGGGGTTGGAGTCAAGGCAAAGTCGGGCTCTCAGGCTATTTGGGCTAGTGATCATTTTGGGCTGGAGACGACGTTGACCATTGTAAGGCGTCCGAATGATTGTGAGTTTGCTACTCTTCTGGCATCGGCGCAGGTATTGAATTTATGCGTAGGACGTTATGTTTTTCTGGTGGAAGATGGGAATCAAGTTGCTGTGTACAATCCTCATTATCATTGTCGAGTCATACGTGCTCGATTTAGCCTGCTTATCAAAAGCTGGCGCTTTCTCCATTCTGTGTATGTCATATCAATTCTCGAATTTGATTTTATCGTGGGCTTGGCTCGATATCAGGGGGCGTTTGCGGGGAAATGTTGAGCTAGGGTTGTATTTTAAGGTTGGGTGGTGGACCTGTGCCGAAGGGAGCAAAATAGTCTGACATTGAAGTGAAAAGCGCCTTTATTTTAAAAAAAAAATGCGACGGGGCTCTACAAACCAAGTTCTGACATGCTTTGGCCGTCAGATCTAGAGCTGCGCGCTGCTGCGCTCAATAATGTCCGTTGAACTTGAATTCTCGGGGATGTCCTAAAATAGATGCATAGCGAGTCCTTGTCAGTGCTTAGTACCTCTCAAGTACCTCTGAACATTTGGTTTAAATGCCTACAAAAGGATTGCATGGCTGCCTTGATACAACTGCAACTCCAGGCCCCTCCAGCCTCTCATGTCATGCATGGAATTGTGTGATAATATTATTACCATGAGGGCACGCCTTTGTGATGGCTTGTTTGCGTGTAAACAGCGAGGAAGTTGGCTTTATAATTTGATCGTTGTCCTTTTTTTCCACCTGTAGTCTTCTTCCACGTTACCACTCGTTCATCCCTGGTTCGCCCTCCGTCGTCGACGCTCCCTTCAACGACCATGAAGTCCTTCTTTGCTTCCCTCGCCGCCGCTGCAGTCTTTGCCTCCAGTGCCCTGGCCCAGCTTACCATCAACACGCCGTGTGTACCTCACCCCTTTCGGTTGGGAGACATGCTTATCGTACCACGTTTCATAGCACGAACCCTGTTGTCTGCCAGCCCCTCCTGATCTCTTGGAGCGGAGGAACTGGTAAGTCTTAATTTTACCAGCTGGAGTACTCGCTCTTATGCTGTTTCCCCTCTAGCCCCATACTACTTGGTTCGTACACCTAAAAGTGTCACTATAACGACTCTCCCTGACCTTCGCTCGTGATTTTCTTCTGCAGAGGTAAGTTATAGTACCCCCCAGGGTGATTGCCATGTCTAACCCAGCTGCTTTAGCATCCTTCCTGGAAACCAACCCACCGCCCCAGCCCTCCAGACCTTCCCTACCCAGACTGGCACCTCACTGACCTGGATTGTCAACATCGCCGTTGGTTAGTGGTTTGTAAAGATTTTTTTTTCAACCTAGTTATCTTTAATCCCTTCACAGGTACCTCCGTCGGTTTCCATATCGTTGACAGCACTGGAGCATCTCAGGACTCTGCTCCTTTCAGCATTCTCACTGGCTGTACGTTGCCAACTTACTTGGGCTCTTTATGTCAGCTTACAATATTTTGTAGCCGACACCAGCTGCGTTGGAAAGAACCCCACGAGCTCAGGTGGTTCCTCCTCTACCGGATCAGGTACTGGTACTGGTCCGGCTACTTCCTCTACCGTTGTCGCTACTACCACAACCGCTGCTACCCATGCTGCCACTACCACGTACGTTCTACTCTATATTGTCTGTACCCTTTTTTCTGACGCTGGAATATTAGTGCTCCTGGCGCCACCACCACCGCTGCCACCACTAAGCCCGCCAGCTCTGGTACTACCTCCGCCGCCGCGACCACCTCATCAAAGGCGAGCGGTGCGATCAGTCAGAACGCACAGTTCGGCGCTGCGGGCGTCGTCGGAGCTGCTATCATTGCGCTCCTGGCTTAAATAGGCGTAGCAACCCAGTGGGTTGGGTTACCTGGGACGCCGCTTCGGTTGTGCACCATGTTCCCCGCACCGCCTACTTGATAAATTATGGACCGTCACATGCTTCCGTTCCCCTCACCAATCTGCCTTGTTGTTTGTTGTTCCTTGAATAATTGTAAGACTTTTTGGTGTGCCCTTTTTTTTTCCGCCTCAGGACGCAACCATTGTTTCGAACGTAGACTATTACATACATTCTTTCCATGCATATAGGACGCTTGGGCCACTCCCTATTTTAGTTATGTTGGTCCTCTACATAGCCATATACGGAATGACATTCTATTTCCATCAGTTGCTGATTGTCGTCGAGTCTAGACGCCTCGACGTCCAGATTCCATCAGTTGTTGACGACATGTTCAAGATAAGTATCGTCGACTTGGTGCCTTGGTTTGACAGGAAGGGGCGTCCTGGCGGCGACTACCTACAAAAATACAGCAGGAGTTTCCTCGCTCGACCCCAGCTTGCACTGGGTTTGCTTCTTGCAGGTACTGGTCTGGACATTGTCGACTTAGCCTTGATTTCTAGTGCATCTTTCACTGCTGGGCTCCACTTCTCTTTCAGTTTGGTTCCTGCTGGTACATACCAGGCCTTTACTTGAATCAGGGCCCTCCAAATTCTGGTGCGAATTTCCTTCTCGGCTCGCGCCTTCCTTTAGAGTTTCTGCAGGTATGTTCTGCTTTGAACATCATCGTCGACTTGGTGCTTTGGCTCTAAGAGTGACCTTTCCGGATTTGGTTCCTGCAGGCGCGGGATGGCGCGGGCTTGCTGGCCGTATCTCCATCGTTTAGGGAAGGTCTCGGTCTTCGCATTACCCTCCAATTCGATATAGAATAGAGGGTTGATGGAGGTCAGTAAGTAGAGAGAGCTTACGGACCTGGAAGCGGCCCCTACTGACTCGAAGGGTGAGTTTTCGCTTGGTTTTCGCCTCGGCTGGAAGCACGAGCATTCGTCTCGACTCGAGGCATGCATGGGTCGTGGCCTTCCAAGTGATGATGTGGAGGACAGTGGGTCGACCCTTCTCCGGTCGAATGATGCATCATGTCCGATGCTGTTGAAACCAACCCTTTCAAAGTGGCACATTTTTGGGTAATCTATCTTTCCTTGTCCGCTGGGAGGATCCTGATTCCTCAAAATCTGGCAACTCCGAGACCGATTTGCTCAGGATACGGAGCCCCAACGTTTACCCGGGGTTTCGTTCCGCTCATTGAAATCGCTTCAATTTAGTGAACTGGACAAAGGTAAATTCTTCGATCGCAATTATATCGGCCCGGTAGTTCATTTTCCAAGGGATTGGTACGAGATTCGCGTTTGTGCAAGGCGCTGTAGATGTGTTGAAGCCAGATGCCACTTGACTTGACATGAGGATGAACGAAGGACATAAGCGCTCAAATTGAGAGGTTTGACAAATAGAATGGTGTATGTGGGTAAACCAAGCAAGGGTTTGGGTGAATTAAAAACCAGGACCTGTGTGATTGAAGAGAATAAGCAAGATGGATACCCTAGAGAATTGTTTCGACGATGAGCATGAGGCAAGGCACTGGTGGGGAAACCACGTGGTGAGTAAAGTTAAAGTCCGCCGTTTTGAGCAGTTTCTCTTTCTCCCTCCGAATTCCCAGCCAGGCGGTTGTCCCTTCCTGAGCCTCTAAGCTGTCCCTTCATTATATCTCAGGACTGGCTCCAGAATCACAACAACGACCATGACTACCCCACACATCATCGCCTCTTCCTCTTCTTCTCATCCCGCTCAGTCCGCGTCCTCCAATGGCATCGTTGGCAACAACTATCGGGTGGGGAAGAAAATCGGTGAAGGCTCTTTTGGTGTCGTTTTTGAAGGTTTGTTTTACTGTTCAGCGCCCACGTCTTTTGCTACTTCCGGTTGTTATCCGCCGTGCCAGCGGGCGAGCTCGTCAGAGACAAGCTGCGGCCGTCGTACCTATCATAACTGCGTCCATTTCTATCACTATCTTCAAGCCTAACCAAGGTTCTAAATCTCATTTGCAGGCACAAAGATAACCAACAGCTCGCCAGTGGCCATCAAATTCGTGCGCACACTTTGTTCATCGATGTTGGCACAGACCTTGAACCCTTTTTCAGGAACCAAGAAAGTCAGATGCGCCCCAGCTAAGGGACGAGTTTCGGTCGTACAGGACGTTGAATGGAACGCGTATGTCTCGTTGGTTTGGTTGAAGCTGGGCTCTTCTGACTTGCAGGATATAGCTGGTGTTCCACAAGTTCATTATTTTGGACAGGAGGGTTTGCACAACATTCTTGTTATTGATCTTTTGGGTTTGAATTTGGAGGATTTGTTTGATATGTGCGGGAGGAAGTTTACAATTAAGACTGTTTGTATGGCTGCTAAGCAAATGGTGCGACACCTCTGCTTGCCACCGTGGCTTGAACTTACTCACTTCCGTCTCTGTTTGCAGGTAACTCGTGTGCAGGCGATTCACGAAAAGTCGTTGATATATCGTGATATCAAACCAGACAATTTTCTGATTGGCGTTGCTGGGAGCAAGACAGCCAACACGATCCATATCATTGGTAAGTCCTGCTTCAGCTGTCCGACTTGGTACGATGGGGTCCCGCGGCGTTACTGGTGCATTGATTGATCCGATCGGATGTCAGCAATTGCACCCAATCTCCAACGATGACGCTTTACAATGATACGGAACTAATTTCTTCATATCACAGATTTTGGTATGGCGAAGCATTATCGTGACCCAAAGACCAAGGTTCACATACCCTATCGGGAACGCAAATCTCTTTCCGGCACGGCACGTTATATGTCTATCAACACTCACCTGGGGCGTGAGCAGTCGCGGCGTGATGATCTAGAGTCTTTGGGTCATGTTTTCATGTACTTTTTGAGGGGGGGTCTACCTTGGCAAGGCCTAAGGGCGGCAACGAACAAGCAGAAGTATGAGAAGATTGGTGAGAAGAAGCAAACGACGCCCATTTCGGAGTTGTGTGAAGGATTCCCCGGTTGGTGTCATAGATGTACACGTTGTCTGAAACTAACGTGTTGCACAGAGGAATTTACGATATACATGAACTATGTTCGGAAACTTGGATTTGAAGAAACACCCGACTATGACTTTCTTCGAGAATTGTTCACAAAAGTGTTAAAGACACTTGGTGAACCAGAAGACGGAGTCTTTGACTGGATGCTCCTAAAGGACACGCCCGCTGTGCGTCATCTTTCCGTCCTCACTGAACTTGGTCTCATTCTTCACAGGCTCCGGGCTCCTTGGCCACCACCCCTGTCACACCTCACCGCGAGCACCGTCGCGAACGTGATCGTGAACACGGACCTCGTCGCTCACGACAAGTGCCAGATGGTTCGACACCTAACCAACTCGTTCTCAGTCCTTCCCCTGCACTCCTTAAAAACCATCGTCGTCCAGCCGAACGCGGGAACTCTGCTCGGGATATTGGGAGTGTGCAACCTCTTGCGCCAACAAGCCGCCGCGCCAGTCAACAAAGAGACGCTACCGGCATTTCTACTGGCGGTCTCAGCACACCCCACCCTTACGCTGCAGCGCCAAGCCCAAATGGATACAGAAACGTCTCCGCCCAGGACGCGTATGGTCGACAATCACCCAACCCATCACCGCATCATCTGCCCAATGGAACCGCTGCCAATGGCGCGCATCCCACCGGGTCAGAGTCTTTCTTGTATGGCCAAGGTCCAACTGGGAAGAATGGGACAAATTCTCGTGAAGGTACGGCTACGGGCGGTACTGCGCAACGGGAGTTTGCATCAGGTGTACGGGGGATGAATATCTGTGATCGTGAGCAAATGCAGAGAGTTGGGGAACAGGACGAGGATGGCGGACACGGGCGTAGAAGAGGATTCTGGAGCACGCTTTGCTGTCGAGCGTAGTTCCGGTGTCTTGAATTTCTTCTATACAGCGTGCTGGCTGCGCCTCTCTCATTCATTCATTCATTCCTTTCTTTATGTTCACGACGCATCAAGATGCATGAAACCGAATGTTCCTAGATCCCATAATCACGTCGATTAATGCTCGTCACTCGTTCCCTCACTCTTTTTATTTCAAGATAAACCCGGACGATACCTCTTTGCCTCTCTGCTTGGTAGCTATTAGTTTGGTTGTACTTTACAGTCATAATAAATTTCTTGTTTAAAAATAACACATTGCCCACTTATCGCCATCTCGCGTATTTCCAAGCGAAAGAGCAGCTATCCATGGATCAATTAGAGCTCCAAGTTTCCCAAGACCTTGAACGGTCCTCACTGATAAAGAATTCTTCTTCTGTGCCGTGGCTGGTCCCGAGGATTGGGCGGTTCTCTTGAGTGGTTTCACCAAAAGTGTCTCTGTTCTTTTTCCTACATCCTTGTCCTCATTATTTACGCGCTTAGCTTTGACGCTGCTGGGTTCTCCCCGTCTCCATGAGGGTCGACTCCAAGTACAACAACGAGACATTCATGTCGTCCAACAAGATCGGCGGATTCTTCAACCCTCTTGAGGCATCACGCAGATACCTTTTTGGTTCTGTTGGTGTCCTTGGTCAAATGAACGATTCTGTTATCTCTGGTGCCCTTTCATCCTTCGTGGTCTCAATATTGGCAATCTTGGGCCGGCGTTTATGGATGTTGCCTCGGTATCAGATGATTGTAAGACATGTCTACTAGCTCGACATATGCGGGCGTAGCCTTGACCAGTGACAACATCTGAGTTCGCAATGGCCACAAGCGTCAATGTTGAGCTCTGGATCCGTTTCGGGGATGAGTATCAGCATGCGCTCTCCATCCCCGTTCACGAGTGTCAGCGATTCTCATTGCATCCTCTCACCTGGTTGCGTTTTCTGGGATACACCATATACGGCAAGGAAGGTTACATCTCCCTTGAACGCGATGGAGAACAGGTCGCGGATTATCGTCCTGACGGCGTGGCTATATCGGGTGGTAATTATTACTACATATCGCAAGGCGAGTCATCTCAAGCAAATTGGGACTTGTCATTCATCTTTAATGATAGACAGCGACTTTCGTTTGCTTGATCCGAAGGCGATGGACGATAGAACCTCCTACACGCTGGAAGTCAATAAGCGCCGGCCATACTTCAAACGGGATGTGGTCAATCGTGATAGGTGTTGCGTGGTGACTGGTACATTACAGTTTGATGCTTTCCATATAATTCCTCATGCAAAGGGAGACCAGGTGCGTTCCGGCCCTATGTACCGTCCACATCGCTCATTCCAGATGAAGTACATAAAGAACCTCGTCGCCTACAGAGAAGTAGTCGTCGATCCACGCTTTGAGAGCATCAACGATACACGCAATGGGATCCTGCTCAACCGAATGCTGCACCACGCGTTCAGAACCTCCCAGATCGCCTTTTTACAGGTCAGCTACTCGACGCAGTTATCTTCAATGTGATTGAGTTAATTTGCTAGACACCCAACTTCGCAATGAACGTCGACGATGTGCCCCTCGTCATGCAACACCACGTGATTGTCGAGCTTCTTCAATTCGCTGTCCATCCATCGGTCGCGAACAGTCGCCTCACCTTTCACAACTTCAGTTGCAGTGATCCTGTGGTCGAGGACATGTTACCTCACAACTCAGTTGCGGTGCAATCAGATAATGACCGGCCTCCGCCTTTTCTCTTCGATGTCGCCTAGTGAAGGAATTTGTGCAATTTACCTGGGAAAAAACCAACGAATTTTACTACCCTAATGTGGACCATGACGATGATGGTGACGACAGTGACGCCGGTCATTCAGTTAGGTGCAGGGAAACGGGCAATGGTTCGTCGGAATAAGAAAGCAGATCGTTATTCGCAGACTGAGAAGCTGGAGAAGACATGAGGCAATTGATCCTTTTGACGTGGTCGTGAGATTGTGGGCGCATAATGCAAGGAAGGACATGCGTCGGGCACGTATGATGAAGGAGCAAACCAGGGAGAACATGAAAAATAGCTATGACTTTGTTCGGCAAAAATTATAAAGACACTTGGTGAGCCAAAAGACAGAGTCTTTTGACTGGATGCTCCTAAAGGACACGTCCTCCCAGAACTTCTGCTTGGTCGCTATCAGTTTGTTTACAATTATAAATTTCATGCCTAAAATTAGAAATCTGCCCACGTTCCTTCCTTATCTCATCTTTCGCCATCTGGCATATTTCCAAGCGAAGGAGCAATCTACATACATAGTACCCGGGGGATCCATGGATCACTTATCAGTCCCTGAGCTCCGAGTTTCCCAAGACCTCAAACGGGTCTCTGGCGTCCTCAACGATATGCTGCAAGAGCAAGCACAGTCCGCCGAGGGCGCGGGGGAGAGTCTACTGCCTAGCTCCCCTGGCATTCCACCAGCGGTGTTTGGAGCAGGTGGGCCTATGTGAGTGGATTCTTCTTTTGGAGAGTAAATAAAATACTGATGAATGGGTGGGTTGGGTGGTCAATGATATAGGTTGAAGCAGTTTGATCAGTCGACGCTTGTTAGTCGGAAGGGCTCCCAGTCTACCACACCACCATTGTCGGTCAAGGGGATCGGAGGGAAAGGTGCCTATCTTCTAGTTCTTGCTTTTATCCTGGAGCTGAAAGGGGTGTGTTTGCGTTTGTAGTTGCGAAACCTGATTACTCCGAGTCGAAGATCGTATTGGCCATGGTACCTTATTACTTTGCTTTCGCATTTGAAAAGCAAGGATGCTGAGCGTGTTGTGTAGGTCGGCCTTCCTGCTCGGGGGAAATCGTATCTGAGCAATAAACTTATGATTTATCTCAAGGTAAGTAAGTTACCTATATTCTTCCTGATGAATGAAGATACAGGGTGTCTACTTAGTGGCTTGAGTACGATGTCAAGGTGCATGCTTTGACTACGCCCTTGGCTTTTCGTTGATCTTGGACCTGAAGGTCTTCAATGTCGGACAATTGCGCCGGACGAGAGCAAGGCAAAAGGCGCAACAGTGAGTGTCGTCGCGATGTTATCTTGGCTGTTGTTGAACGATGTTCTTCACCGTGCAGGAGTGGGATCAAGGAGGATCATACTGCGAATTGGTTCAACCATACGAATGCAGAGGCCAATCAGTCGCGGGAACAGTTGGCTCAGGACAGTCTCGAGATGCTGATACAGTGGTTGAAGGATGGAGGGAATGTTGGTATCCATGGTGTTTTTGTTTTCTGTCCGTTGAAGGATTTTTTTCTGACGTATGTGCAGATGCGACGAACAGTACTCGCAGACGAAGGTGAGGCTATCTTGTATCGTGGTCGTATCCCGGCTAACATCTTGAATACAGAGCCAGCATCGAAGCCCGCGTCGCAAAAGAGAAAGGCATCCACCTCATCTTCCTTGAATCCCTCTGCGACGACCCAGCCGTCATTGCTGCTAACGTCGCACTCAAAGTCAGCTCCGGAGACCCCGATTACAAAGATACCTCGCCCGAAGTAGCCAAGCGGGATTTCCTCAGGCGCATAAGCGAATACGAAAAGGTGTACGAAACGATAACGGAGCCTCATTTGTCGTACCTCCAAATTGTAAACGTGGGAAGTAGGGTGACGGTTTCGAGGATCCATGGGTACTTGCAGAGTCGGATTGCGTTTTATTTGATGAACTTGCATTTGAAGCCGAGGAGCATATACCTTTCGAGAGTAGGTGGATGACTTTTTCCGTTTATGATGTCTGATGCCCATTTTCTTCAAGCATGGAGAAAGCCAATTTAACGTGGAAGGCAAGATTGGGGGTGATTCGTTACTCTCGCCGAGGGGTATGGAGTATGCGGATGCTCTGCCAGCCCTGATTACCGATAATATTGGAAACGCGCCTTTGACTGTAGGTACTCTCATTTGCTTGATGATGGACGCTGATCTTTATAGGTGTGGACGTCGACGCTGAGGCGGACTATCCAAACCGGTAGCAATCTTCCGTATACGAAACTTACGTGGAAATCTCTTGACGAGCTTGATGCTGGTAATTACTGGATTGTTGTTGAGAGGAAGCAAATGTACTGACGGGTCTTCCCCCTAAGGTGTTTGTGATGGTATGACTTATGAGGTAAAAGATTTTCCTTCTCATAGTTTTGTAGATGCTAACCCTCCCGTAGGAGATTGAGGTCTGACAAATGGCTTGCCGTCTTATATCTTCGTTGACAAAAACGAATATATAGCAAGCCTACCCAGATGACTTTGCTAACCGCGACGATGACAAGTTCAACTACCGTTATCGCGGTGGCGAATCGTATCGCGATGTCGTGGTCCGTCTGGAGCCTGTTATAATGGAACTGGAACGCCAGCAGAACGTTCTGGTAATCGGGCACCAGGTGAGTGGATTAAGTTACGGCGACTAGGCGAGACTGATGCGTGGATGTGTTATCAGGCTATCTTGCGCTGTTTGTGAGTTTGTTTTTGGGTCATTTAGGTGGCATGAGGCCTGACCATCATAGATACGCGTATTTCCACCATCTTCCACAAGAGGATCTGCCATATATCAAGATACCGCTGCATACGGTGATTAAATTAACGCCCAAGGCGTATGGATGCGACGAAGAGCGGTAGGTTTCTGTTGTTATTTTTCTGGGATATGGAAGTAATGGACTGTGGTTGTAGATATGCGCTTCCCATTGCGGCTGTGGACACGCACCGACCGAAACCGAACACTACGGCTCCGGTTGTGCAGCCTACGACGGCGAGGCAGTATTTTGCGGGAGAGAAGGATTAGTTTAGAGGAAGTAAAGGTGTATAATTATGTAGGAACTACAGGGTCGGTCTTGGGTCGGGGACGGGTTCGAGCCTGTTCAAGCCCGCGATGGTTGCTCCCCGATGGTGATCTAATGTGATAGAACGTTTCCACGCTGAGAGACTCCGGGTAAGTAAGTCAGGTGCACCAAAGGCAGCCCAAAGGGGAGGCATGCTGGCCGAAAGTGAGCACTTCGGTGGTTCGATATTAGCTCGGTGACAATTCTGTGATCTACGCTCGGCCATAAGATCTTGAGAACGTGATGGCGAGAGATATTGGGGATTTCTCGTAAAATGGTGTGAGTACGTATATGCGTCCCTGGCTGGATTAATTAAATTTAAATCGTACGATGAATGTATGCGTGCGTTCACTAGACCTCTATGCGAACGTAGGTTGAGTGCAGAAATTACATGTTATGTAAAAAACAAAAAAAAAAACAAAAAAAAGAGAAGAGAGGAGCGTGGACAGGTGACCAATTATATGAATTGGCGCGGGTGTGTCCGAATTGGGAAATGAGACGGTTGCCCCAGATTTCCCATGAGGAGAGTATAATATAAATAGGGCGGATATAGAACGAGTAAGCTCCCATTCAACCCAGTTTCAACCCACCATGTCCGCCTATATGCGCCCTCTTGCATCTCTATCGCGCACTGTTGCTGCTGCACAAAGGGTTTCTACCCGGTCGTTTCACTCGCCCTTCGTCGTACTCGGGGACTCTCCTATAACTGCTCACCATGCCCACGCTCCACCTATATCACGACACTACGAGAAAGAGCATCATCACGCTTATGACCCTTATGCAGCCCTTTCGGGCCAACGCACCTACGTCGTCTCGGAGCCCGACGCGTCTGCGAGCCATTACGAAGTGCCATCGGGTGCTTACCCTACGTCATCACCATATATCAACTTTACCGCAACGGAGGCTCCCAAAGTAGAGGAAGGACAGTATAGCTCGACGGGTGGGAGTTTGTTGGCGCACCAGTTTACAACGAGGGCGGCGGCGCAGCATAGGGGTGGGGTTGGGGAGAGTTCGGCGGTGAGGTTTGGAGCTGCGCCTGGGGAGATGGGTGCGAGGGGTGGTGGGTATGGTGGAGTGGGATTGGTGGATAGGAAGGGGACTGTTGCGGGGAAAGGGAGTCTTGGGGAACGCAATCCCCCTCCTGATGGCAGTAAAACTGCCGAGATGTTTTCGAAAGCGGGTATCGACGACGCGTGGAAGTTGAGGAAGTAGCAGTTATTTGGTTTTGTTTGATTTCACATTATAGTAGAGCACCTTTTGTAAATCATTCTTCTTTGCCGATGAATATGTCTTGACGTCGTTGTGAGTACTCAGTAGATATATGTGTTGAGTCTGAATTGAGTTTGACTTTTAGACAAGTAAATAATCTCAATTGTATTTGGACAAATTGTCTCTCTTGCCACTCATTGGCATGACCGTTCACCTCCCTTTGCAGGCAAATGCCTCGCTGCCTCAATCTCCCTCATTTCTCCTTCCTTCCGCAGATCCATCCGCACATGTAGCTAGAGCAATCCAGGCGATCCTCAAGGCTAAGCGTATTGTCGTCATTTGTGGTAACACTTCTCATTATCATCCTACTCTCTTAGCTCTAACCTCTCTCATAACTAGGCGCTGGAATATCCGTTCAAGCAGGCATCCCAGACTTTCGTTCTCCAGATGGTTTATTCAAGAGTTTGAAACGAGATAATCCCCGCGAAGCCCTAGCATCTGGAAAAGATCTATTTGACGCTTCAGTTTTCAACGTGCGATTCTCAATTCTCTCTTGTTTCAGTGGCTCATTCGATTGATACACAGTCAGAGACAACGACCTCTCTATTTTGCCAGATGGTCGCCCAATTGTCCGATCTGTCACAAGCTGCCCAACCAACCTCTTTTCACCACCTTCTCAGAGAACTCGATCAACGAGGGAGGCTTCTACGCGTCTATACACAGAATATCGATGCGATTGAACAAAAGTCTGGTTTATCGTTTGGCGTACCAGAGTTTGAAGCCAAACGTTGTAAACCTCGGCGAATCCCTGTCGATTCTTGTGAAACTGACCTACTCCCATCCATCGCCACCCACCTGTCCTCTCCAACCTCCGAAATCCCACGCTGCATCCCCCTACATGGCACCCTCCAATCAATGCATTGCCAAATATGCAACCATTCCTTCCCTCTTCACCTCTACCTCCCCTCTCTAACATCCGGACAACCCCCACAGTGTCCAGAATGCACTGCCCTTGAAGAGACAAGGCAACTCATCGGAAAGCGACCCCGTGGCATAGGCAAGCTCAGGCCGAGCGTCGTCTTGTATAATGAGACACATAAGAATGGCGAGGGCGTAGGCGAGGCCGTCAAGAAGGATTTAATTGGCTCCAGGGGGCGGAGTGGCGCGGATTTGTTGCTTGTCGTTGGCACCAGCCTGAGGGTCCCGGGGACAAAGAGGATGGTCAGGGAATTTTCAAAGGCTGTCAGGTCGCGTGGGGTGATTGTTAGAGATGATACAGGGCTTGCCACTCCACCGAGAAGGTCACCAGCAAGCTCGAGTGAAGATGAAGGAGGGGCGATGAAAGCGGTTTATTTGAATCTCGACTTTCCGGTGCCAACGAGAGAATGGGAAGGTGTGTTCGATGCATGGATACAGGGCGATGCACAAGAATTTGCAGAGATGGTGCGTGGGGAGATTGGGAGGGAGGTTAGGGCGAAGGAGGCGGCGGTGGAGAGGAAGCGCAAAAGGGAGGAGGACGCTGCGGCTGAAAATGAGGAGGTTACTGCGCACAATGAGGTCCCCGTCACGCCTACGAAGATGAAACCAAGGAAACCGATGACACCCCCCGACTCGCCTGACGAGTTCCAGCGGCCTAGGCTGTTCTTGCGTATCCCGGCACGCGTGCATCGTCAACCACCACCACCATCACCGCCTGCGAGAAGACGGCTGATACCCGAGGTTTTTATAACAACCTCGCCTCCACGCGCACGTAACAGGTCACCGAAGAGGTTTCATAAACCAAAAGCAGCGGAAGACGATATTTATCTGCGTAAAGTACCACCAAAACTGGAGAGACGCATTAATGAAGACGCCGACGACGACGACGGGGAACAGCCTCTCCCAGATTTCATACGGACTGTCCAACTTGGCCTGCGCGGGTCTGGTGCATAGATCACTTACTTGATTGCTCATTATACGAGCGAACTCTTTGCCTCACGCTTTCGTTATTTATTATTGGTATTTATTGGTCACCTATTCGTTGTAAGTATAATTGGCATTGGTGTTTTTTAACGACAACGATGAAAAATAGTTTTACATGTTTCGCCGGGGAGATTATAGGGTGGTCACTGAAAGCAGTCTCACCACGAGAATCCACGCGGTAAGTAGCTACTGTGACTTGTCATGTGATGTGACTCAAACACCAGCACTGAATCCTCCAAACGCTGCCCCCTCTGCTCGGTTCAGCGTTGATGTTTCCGTCCCCCGCCGTGCCTTCTCTAGAACCAGAAACGAAATAACGACTAGATCCAGAATTTCCTCTCCAATGTTATTCACTGTCAACGTGGCTGGTTTCTTTCCAGCATTTGCGACCTGATCAACAATCCGACGTGATTTTCGGAATTGAGCAATGGGACTAGTTTTGTCCGATTCGATGTAAAGCTGTTGCTTTGCCCGTAAGCGTGTTGTTCTTATGTTGAAGGCAATGATCCTACCTCAAATTGCATTCCAGGTCCGTTGCCTTTCCACTTGAAGTTTCGGCCAGATGCGTCTTGGAATGTAACCGTGCTAAGGAAGTTGTAAGGAAGACTCAAATTTCAACAAATTTCTTTCATCGTGCCAGTCTGCTCACCCCTTGAAGGGCACCAGGCTTTTCTTCAGCCAGGTGCTCACAGAAGTTGGTGTCCCATTTCCAAGCGTGATGATGTCCGACCGGACATCTCTCCATTCCCAGGATGCAATGCTGTCACCAACAGCGTTCTTGACTCGAGTGATGGTACTCTTCCCGTGCTCTGTTGCCACCTGGTACATGACCTTGCCGGTTTCTTCGTCGATGATGGTGGTGTTGCATGGGTTGTCCGGTTGGAACACAAGGGTGAGTAGGTCCGACATTGTGCTGCGACGAGGAAGAAGCTTCGTCAATTGGCAAGTACTGAATCGCAGTTTTCTATGTGCGTATACTGTATACATCGCTTTTACAAACCGAAATGGACAGCACTTCTCCGCACTGCTTCCCGCAGCTCTGGCAAAGATCATCTTTTCTCAGGGCATGCAATATGCTTGGGCTGATGTCTGCTGACTCTCGATTTCTGCTTTGGTGAAGATCCTTTTGGATGCTGTGGCATTTGAGCTAGAGTCGCGTCATATCTGTCTATAGCCTACGTTCACGGATGGTCTCCTGCATTCGCATCGCTGTACACCGCCTTTCTTCCATCAGAAAGTTTGCTTGGGGAGACTTATACTCAGATTGCCAGTCAGCTGAGGCCAATTACACGAGACCAAACCATCAATGGCATGCATATTATCAACGTTATATATATTGGTCATTAGCCGCCTGGCACGTAGATAGAATCATTACATCGGACATAAAAGAAATATAAGATTTAGTAACAGGATAGAGCAAGTTGAAATGTCATTATTTGCGAAGTAATTTCTCGTGAAGTTCCGCTCCCTTGAGCTTTGCCTTGAGATAATCCAGACGGGTGGAATAACGAGCGATGAGGTCTTCCCGCCGTTGTTGAATGTCAACGAGCTCGGATTCGGCGTCACCGTCATCTGGCCCTAAGCCTATCGTATCCGTCGAGTACATTGCAGCGTTCTCTTTGAGTTTCTGAAGAGGTAGTTGACTTGTGCTGCGCGATGTGATAGAGGCGGTGGAGATCCTGAGAAGACCTGAAGATGTGCCGTGCGAAGACACAGAGGAGATGGAGTGGGAAATGGACGGAGACCGGAAATGTGGTGATAGAGGGCTTGCCGGAGGATGATGTCGCGGTAACGAGGCTATGGATTTGGAGCGTGATAGGGTTGTCGTGTTTGAAGACCCTGAACGGATAGAAAAACCATCACTGAGGAGTGACTTCTGGTCAAAAAAGGGCGAGGAGGGGGATGGGATCATTCGATGCTCGCGCCATTCTTTTCCTCCGAGTACGACGTTGATGTTGGCGGGAGTGTTGGAGTGTAGCCTGTGAGCGTTCTGTTTGCGGATACGTCGGGCGGTGGTAGCCTCGAGGGCGTTGAAGGCATCTACAAGGCGTTGAAGCTCGGCATTAGTGGATGATATGATCGCTTTGATGTCTCCGGATGTAGACAGGTTGTCGTCGTCAAAAACGTCGCTGATGGCGGAAGCGAGGGAGGGGGAGATGGGGGCGGGCTTGCGTTGAGGAGTACTATGACCTGACGTATGTGCGTGTAAGGAAGAATCGTATGATCGGGCATGAGGTATTCTGGGAGAATGTAAGTCCGTAGGGGGGCGGAGGTCTGTGCAATTGGGAGGTCGTTCGGCGGGTTTTTTCTGTAGCAATCGCGGGATAACACTGCGCTTCGGGGTGTCTGGAGGTTTGGGATGTGAAGTAGAAGATGACTTGCGGCCTGTTGCGCGCCGCAGAAGACTTGCTACGGTAACGGAAGAGGACTTTGGACGTGGAGATGGTGACCTTTCTGGCGACTTTTGGACGGTCGTGGGTGCAGGGCGTAGGACTGGAACGACAGGAGACTCGACGGGGAGGACGACGACGACGTTGGTAGAATATTGTTCGAATAGGTTCTGTCTGAGGAGACGATACTCGTCGTCACTGTGCGTCGTCGTAGTCAGTGGAAACAAAGAAGAAAGAGATATAAAATACTTGAGAAGGCCGTTTGAGTTTGCTGCTGCAAGTTGGTTGAGGCGTTGAGCAAGAGCCATAAAGTACAAAGGAAACCAAATAACAGTAACTACTTTAACCACCATGTCCATCCTCAATCCACGGACAACAACCTACGAATTTCTCGGTCCTCCAGGCGCTTTCCTCGTCACCGTCGGTGTCCCCATCGCCACCTACGCACTCTACTTTGCTTGCTCAGAGTCATCAGGCGGATGTCCTCCTGCCCTTGCAACCATCCCCGTACACGTCTCAGATCCCAACTGGTGGAAATCTCTCTGGGATACTGATGCAACTCTAATTTACTTTGCTTGGTACTTCTTTTGCGTTCTTGCATGGGCAGTCTTGCCTGGAGATCGCGTATCTGGCACCACTCTCAGAACAGGCGAAACGAAACAGTACAAGATAAATGGTGCGTTTCTTGTCCTTTTTTTTCTCTCGCACCTTCCTATCCCTCATCTATGCTCAGCATTCTCCACTTACCTTCTTACCCTCGGCATCACCTCCGGTGTTATCTATCGCTACGGACCAGAATCTGTCACCTTCATATACAACAAATGGGTCGGCTTCGTCACTGCGTCTCTTCTCATGTCCATACTCCAGGCTTCTGCATGCTACTTTGCCTCATTCAGATCAGGCAAGCTACTGGCTTTGGGAGGAAATACCGGAAATCATCTTTATGACGTATGTCAATCCCATCCATCCTTTGTCTACTAAATTCCAGTACGTAGTGGTTCATTGGCCGCGAGCTTAACCCATCTATTGGCTCCTTTGACGTCAAATCATTCAATGAGCTCAGGCCCGGTCTCATCCTTTGGGTCATCATCAACATCAGCTTAGCTTGCGAGCAAGCCACTCGTCGTGGAGGACTCGACAAGATTACGGACTCCATGTGGCTCGTTCTCGCCTTCCAAACATGGTACGTTACCGATGGCTTGTACAATGAGGTCCGTCAGATTTCAGTCTTCGGATCTCCAACTTTCCCAGTTCATATCCATTCACAGCCTGCGCTTTTCACAACAATGGACATCACAAGCGATGGCTTTGGCTTTATGCTTGCTGTCGGTGACCTGCTCTGGGTTCCTTTCACTTACACCCTCCAAGCTCGGTATCTTGCCTTCCACCCAGTTGAGCTTGGCCCCGTCAAGACGGCTGCTATCCTTATCTTGAACTGTATTGGTTATTACATCTTTCGGGATTCTAATGGAGAGAAAAACGATTTCCGTAACGGGAAGAACCCCAAAGGTGCATTTCGATCCAAGAAACGTTATTCACAGGATAACCTTTGTTTATCGCAGGTTTGAAATATATGACAACAGCTAAAGGTTCAAAGTTACTCACTTCTGGGTGGTGGGGACTTTCTCAACATCCCAATTATATGTAAGCTCCATCGTGATGCCACTTGCAAGTGCTAATTGATTCGCCAGGGGCGACCTCCTGATGGCGCTTGCGTGGTGCCTGCCTACTGGCTTTGACACGCCCATCACCTACTTTTACCCTGTGTACTTTGCTGTCCTCCTCATTCACAGGCAGCGTCGCGATGATGAAGCTTGCCATAAAAAGTGAGATGAATATTTGCCCTTGCCATACTTGGTGTGTGTTGCTGACCCCGCCTTTTCAGACATGGAGATGATTGGGTGAAGTATAAGAAGTTGGTTCCATATAGGATCATCCCATATGTCTATTAATCACGCTCCATCGCCTACTAATCACGCTCCATCGCCTACTAATTCATGCTATTTTCATTGGTATATAAGTGGTACATGTCTCTTTGTTAGAGTCCAGTTGAATGTATATCAGGCAACGTCCAGCAGCCCTTGAAGATGCGAAGCATATGAAGGAATATCAATTCTAGTGATACTTGCTGATGGCCGCGAGGTAAGTTTTGCCGGATTCACTGTTCAATAACCTGAATGAGTACATTGGCCAGAAAATGTCCTTTGAATATTACCTCAAAGAATTGCCAGACATTAATGGCCAGACATCACCAAGACCCAACCCATTGCTGTAACCATAAGCGTACACATTGGGGTGCGCTTGGAGATATGGCACCACATCATTAATGAACCCATCTATCTCAGCTTGGTCCGTACAGGGCCTAAATCCCTGAAAATCTTTTGAGAGTTCGACGGCATAAGGAAGGATACCGTTAACAGGAAAGCAATTCTCTCACCATCGACACAGGCGAATTCGGTTACCCAGATGGGCCTGCCATAGGAAAGATAATGTTCCTGCAAACGGTCGAAACTTCAGCAGTCAGAGGATCAACACGACAAGTTGTACATACAATATCTAATTTGACACCAGCCAAACTGTTCTTGTTAATGTGAATGGCTGTAAAGTGCCAGGGCGTCGATATCTTGCTGTTGAACTGCGAAAGCCAAGTCTCATCGGCTTGTTCTGTAAGTAAAGTAAGTCTTCTGAATCGAACGGGCAGCCGGTAAATACCCACTACACATGGAGGGACTCCCAAGTAATGTTCCTTTCTTGCCCAAGGGAGCGATCAACGACTCCCATTTCGACACTCCGTCCTCGACGGACATGCCTGCAGACCCGTCGCCGCTGGCACAATCGGGTTCCTCGAAACCTAGAACAAATGGGGGGGCTTGTGATATTTGTTGAAATTGTCGGAGACGAGCGGCGTCTTGCGCGTCGGCTGTTCCGCCTCCCCACAGCATGGGAACGCCAACGGGTGTTCCAGCTTTTGAAGGGTTTGGAGACCTGTATTTTTTGATGAATATTATGGGGTGAAGAGGCAGGTGGACGACTTGCCAGTCATACCACCATCCTATGTGGTCCTTCAAGAAAGGATAAGCGTCACCCCCTGCAATGCCAGCTTTGATGCTATTCGGAGTCAACGACTGAGCCGTAGGTTTGGGGAAAGAGTAGAGAGAGCTGGTTGTCGCAACGACAGCGGAGGTGGCTGTCGCCGGGTGCGGGGTCGGCACCTTGGGAATTGGTCGGGATAGATCGATGACCGAACTAGGGTCAACACTGGTGAAGTTCACGGCAGTCGTCACAGCTGGGGTCGTGGAGCTCAACAAACGAGGTCGACAGTGGCTACGCTGAGAGAGGCCGTGACGTCCACAGTGCATAACAACGCCGAGGCCAGCCAACACGTTGTCAGATTCTGCAATAAGGACAAGGAGAGGAAATAAAGAGAAAGATTTGAATTGAACCATTGGGGTGTAAAAGAAAGGGATGTGAAATGAAGAGTGAATGGGGCGACGTCGACTGCTTGCTTATATATATAATTTCTGACGAAGGGGAGGCTCTTGGAAGTTACTGGGAAGATGCGCAATAGAATCAATGGAATAGGGCTGTGGAGAGACTTTGCTGTCCTGACATGATACGCGGATTGCTGCATGGAGATCCTCGGGGGTCAGTCACGTCGAGTTCGCGTCGAATGGAGTGCTATGGAGTGTGGCCTCGCAACTCCGACGCGCCGCTCTCAATTAGAATCAAGTTTAACCTTTTCCGCTAGGGGAATAGAAGCATGCCTGAGTAAAACGATGGTAAAGAAGAGCCAGAGAATTTGGCTGCCGAAGGACAAACAGTTGTCCGCGGAAGCATGAGTCGGCGTTCTATTATTCCTCTGAGCTAATGACTCGGACGTTCTGTGCGACCACTGGATCCAGAGCAGGCTGATGGATCATTCCTAGCCTTGCGAGGCACAAGAAAACAGCCATGTTGACCTTCTCCTGCCGAGGGTTTCTCTCCTTTTCTGGAGCTAAAACACCGTTCAGGATATGGGTGGGGGTAAGCAGCCGTGTGGAGGTGTCATGAGTCTTCTTTGACCTTCTCTTTTCAGCTTTATGCATCGTTGGCGTAACAACTCCTGAGGCGACCATCTTATCTCGATTCGCCACTTCCAACGCGCTTTCGACCAATTCCCGGACGAACCGTCTCGTGAGATGGGAAAGCAGAGCATAAGGTGCAAGCCGAGCCTCGACCTGCGACATACTTTCTCCTAATTCTCTGAGGGGGGAATGAAAGCCAATTGAACGGCGAGGGGGAGATAGACTAGGCGAGGTCGAAAACGTGGACAACCCCAAAAGTTCCACAAGTTTGCAGATGGATAACGTTAGCTGAGGCTCCGAGGTCAGAACCAGCTGGTGAGGATCTAGACAAACTTGAGGTTCACAGTTTGAAGCGCTTCTGTTGAAAACTTGAACTCTATCATTGGGGCCCGCAGTCAGCATGTGGTGGATATTTATCATGGGAAAGATGAACGTTCGCAGCTCTGTGGATACAACTGAGCAAGGATGCGTAGGATCATTTGATGTCCAAGGCATCCCGGGGGTAGCGGCGATCTCACTTTCCTGTTTAATTGAATTCGCCAAATGAAGATTCAAGCTTAGTCCACAGAAACGACACCACTGCTCGACAGGTTCAGCCGGGATGTGATCATCAGTGGTTTCTTCCTTGACTTCATTCATAGGCTGCTTTATGAGTAACACAGAGGGGAAATGTCCCATTTTGTGTAGCCAAAGATATACATCTGCAGTCGACAACTGGGCCTTGCCTGGATCCAGATCAACAATGGCGCTGGCATAGGCGTCGGCAATTGCCTTTGCACGACCCCACTAGACACGAGAAATCAGCATGCAGCAATAGTAGTTCGTCAGTCGACGCGCTCACTTCAATCGCCTTTCGTCTGCCCACAATCAGCTCCTTGAAATGACTAGGCGAAGATACAATCATGTAGGGTAGGGATTCGATGGAAGATTGAGTCCCTTTGGCATCTTTGCAATTTCAGATCATTGCAAGTTGATTCGAGATAAGCGCAGACCTTTCAGGGTCATAGGAAAGGATTTCACAAGCTCAGATAGTATCTGTTCGTATACTCCAAGGCTATGAATACTTGGGATCAAGGCGGACAACACCACACCTACCTTGAGTACCTTGCACTTCGGGCTTGGCTTCACACTGAGGGGTTTCCTGGGGGGTCGGTGCCACATTTGTGTTATCCCACAAAGTCTTGGATTCGACCGGGGTATAGCCCGTCTTCGCAGGTTTCAACGTTGTCTGTTTGTCTAGTTCAACGTCGAGTACTTGTTCTTCTCCAAGTACAGCCACCGACGAGCGCAGTAAATCCAACTGAAGTAAGAGTTTGAAATTAGAGTGCTTTGAGTGCCAAGTCCATCATAAACTACACATACCTCTATCCAATGTTCGACCGTAAATTTCTGGCCTTCATCACTTGAATTGTGTATGGGGGTGAATAGGAATTCAACCCGCGCTAAAAAGGGTCTATCGCATGTCCCAACGATAACAAACGGAGGCTCTGTTGTGGTGGACCTGGTTAAAGCAACTGCTGAACTGGGTTCAGCATGTGGGAACACCGTCATGCGCTGGAGAATGCTGGTAATATGATATGACTATGGCAGCGTGAAGAAGAATATCAGACGATGAAAAGGTGTACTGTAGCTCACGTAGGCAGGGGCATCAACTGATATCATCCATTTATGTGTATGATTTTGGGGATGAGCATATCTCACGCCTGTTGAAAGTTGAGCTCATTTCAACGTTCTCTTGAGAATAAATACGAACTTGGGTCAATGTATAGGCTGCGATCAGCTACAACGACACGCGCTAGGAAGTGAAATCTGCTTGCGGCAGTGGGTAAATTGATGATTGGGTTGAGAGGAGAACCTTGCGATCGCAGAGGCGTCTTGGACATATCTGGTCCAATACCAGATCCATCTTCCTTGTCGAAAGAGCTGAAAGGTAGGGAGTAGACTTCGCTGACAGAAGTGTTGATTTCTTCCTGCAGCATGGAAGGGGCTGCAAAGCTACGCTGAGCGTACATCATTTTCCAAGTTTTCTTCATAGAATCATTGGGCTCGTCCGTTCCAAGAATATCGACTGGGTCGTCCTCGTTGCATACTGTAATCTCCCTTCTATGAGCACGCTTCCCCAGAAACGGCGCAAGAGCTGGTGTATCTTTGTGTAACCCTAACGTTTGCGTTAGCAGACTTCCAGGGGACGTTTCCCGTATGCCTTTCATATCAAATCCGTCACCGTTACTTCGCTCAAATTCATGGGAATGCGTCCCAACAGCCATCTCGAAGATGGTCCGTATGCCAGGGGTTACGCCCACAGGTCCTAGGCCGACTTCGATGCCTGCATCAATGTCGATGTTGGGGTCGTTGACGGCGCAAGCCCTCACGCATTCGTCATGCGTACCCCATTCGAGGCTATGAGAAATACGAGCATGATTGAGAAGACCTTGGAGAGAAGTAAATGCGGTTCGCGAACACGTTGGGCATTTTAAAAGGTAGAACTGTACAGGTGGTCCACCTCCCATCCTTGCAGAGCCAAGAGCAGCAGAGCTTATGTACAGAAATCTAGCACTCGGATTCCGGGTGAGAAAAGGTTTTTGCTTTGGTGGAGGTCGTGTAATACGGTTGAACTGTAGGGGGGCTGATATTTCGCGAGAATAGATGCATTCAGAAGGAGCTTCGATGGCCAAAACTGCTTCTAACGCGGCACGTCGAAAAGAGTCGATTTCGTCTGAGTTTCTACCTGGAGTCGGTTGAGCAATACAACGCGCGGAGAGGCGACCAAGCATACCTTTAGCCTTCCCGAGTGATTCTTGCAAAGTGCCAGCCCATGCTATTCGTGATTGCAACGTCTTTACTAAGCGTTGTCGCAGGCCGATTTCGAGGTCTATCTCCCCTGCCATTACAGGTAAGATGGTGGAATATTGGGTCTTGTTGTTCTCTCTGGAGTCGATTTTTCGTCTTTTACGCGTCGACATCGTGGAAATCACGTCCAACTGGTATCGTGCTTGTTAGAAGATTGTTTGGGAGGTTGTCACAGACCGAGAACGCCGTAATCAAAATCGAGGTCACAGGATTCAATTGTCTCAATAAAATGAACAAAATCTCTATCGATACATCAGGAGCAGGAAAATACAGCGAGAGGCGTCAAGGCCAGCAGGGGTATATGATAGGAAACAAGAGAACAAAGCCATGTCGTTGGGTATGTTTGATGAGGATATATAACCGTATGAAATCAAGTTAATCTAAGTTAGGGGTTCTGGCATGCAAATTCAAGATGAAGCGTAATCAAGTTTGGAGTGACGTTCTGAAGCGAACTTCAAAATTCGGGAGCTTTGCAGGTCTTGAGATGCCTCTGCATAACGCTTTGAGTAGTAAATTCTCGGCGGCATCGTGGACAAGAGTGATCCTTTAAGCCAAGGTGAACGTTTACATGATCTAGAATAAAATTGGTGAGCGGATGAGCTACGAAGATGAGTGGGAAGGGCTTACTCTTCAGGTTGTGATTAGTAGTAAACGTCTGGTTGCACAAAACGCAAGCAAACCTCGCTTCTTTCGTCCTCCTTGCCTCACTTGCTTTTATGCCTGCCTGAGATGCGACCTTTCTCATAGGTCGCTCAGCAGACGTGGAAGACAATGAAAGATTTGGTTCGTTAGCATGCAAAAATGGCGTCTCCGCCGGCCTCCCAGTGTGTGTGAAGCTGTGGCGGCGCCTGACTGCATCCCCCGGCGAAGGAATACCACAAAAAAATTCCCGGTCTGGCACACTCAAATGTGACGAGTCAATTGCAGAGTGAGGCGATAATGAACTTGAAGACAGTCCAGGAGTGTGGTGGTGGTGTGAGGGATAGGGGCTGGATCTTCTGGAACTGGACGGACTGGGAGGAGCTCGTTCGTCCTGGCGGCCGCGATCAGAACCGGGCACGTCCATAAAGCCACTCTTTCCGCCAGAGTGAGTATTGCGACGCTGGGACAACCTCCCATCTATGGAAGGTACACTGTGCGCCCCATGTTCCGCGGTGTCAAATACAAAAGGATGGGGCAAATCCGTGGTTGACGACGGTGAAGGAGAGCCCCATGAGGTATACAAAGATGACGGCTCAGAATGACTGGCAGACGGAGGAGTTCGCAAGTCGATTGACGAAGGGGACCTTTCATCACCAAATATGAAGATGGAACGAAGGAATTCATCGTCTGGGTCACCAGCAACATACGAGGCATTCTGGCTAGCTTGAAGTTGTTGCGGTATGATGAGAGGAGACAAGCTCTGGCGTCCTGGAGACGGGCAGGGTGATTCGAACGGAGGGTGTATTATGGGCCCGCGGGGCATCTCGCTGAAAATCTGAGAGGAGTCTTCGTAGCTAACCGAGGAGGCACGAGCTCCGTGATCGACGGATGAGGGGTTTCCATCTGAAAGTGACAGTCCCCCAAAAGACTGGGTGACGGGAGATAGACCACTGTGTGAGAGGGGGCTTGCACCTTCGGAGTAGAAACCATGGTGCTGATGTAGTTCAAAGAAGTTTGGGTTGTTCACCCCGGCCTGAAGATTAACGTTGACGGCGTTCAAATCCAGCAGGGGTTTATACGGAGTCCCCGGTGTGGATGATCCTGTGGGATGGTAGGTCAGTGTGTGCGATGCGGCGATGGACGTCGCTACGAACCTGCAGAGGATCCAGCAGGAGAATAATATCCGTTGGGGGAAACCCGGTGACCAGTCCTGTCAATCATATCAATAAAGAGCAGAGGCAAGCAGGAGGTGATCTATACCCGAAGTAGATTGGCACCGACGAGGAGTTATCGGGTGGAACGATAGTGATATCGAAGGTGTCTTGCTGGTCCATTGTTGGGCGACGAATGAAGGGGGGGTAAAAATGGGTTATCGTTTAAGTATTAACGGAACCATGAGGTGGGAAGCATTTCCTAGTAGAGGTGCTGTTAGAAAGCTATGCGTTAAGCGCGCGCTTGCAGAAACCCAGGCTGAGAGTGGTTCTCCTACTGACAGTTGGACAGATAGAAGTGTTGCCACCGCATACGGACCCTTAGAAAACGGAAGAACGTTTTTACAGCGAGTAGCATCAGTCAGTGGACAGTCGCAAGTAAACGATTTGGTGGGGGCAAGTTGAGCGAGGCCACTTAGAGGCACTGTTTTGGATGCAGATGTGGCTGTGCCACACGCGAATTCATGAACGGCGGCCCTGCACTTGCCTTAGCCTCGTGCAGCACAGCCGGCCATTCTGCGCCGTCCGCAGCCTGCGAAAAGGTCGGCGTTAAGCGCCCTTGTAATAGTTTCTCGAGGCAAATGAAAGGTCCAGTGCATCAGATACAGGATTTTAGGTAGATACAACATTAACAATTAGGCCAACTCTATGTAGGTAAGTACTACAAACAAAAATTATGAATACGAACGAAAATACTTTTACAACATAAAGCTACGTGCATAAGAAAAGATCTATCAAGACGAGCGTAAGAGAATGAAGCCATATTTATCAAGACGAGAATAAGAGAACGAAGCGCACAAATAGGTATATCTCCACAGAAATCAGTTGCTGTCAGTGGCACGACACTTTTTGCGATGTCGGGTGAGGACGTGCGCGACGCCGAAAGTGCGCTTGCAGACATCGCACTGATAATTTCGGATGCCAAGGTGTGAATTGAGATGATCTAGGAAAATGTGGGATCAGTAAAAAAGGCACAGCATTGACAGGGGCTTCACCCACTCTGGAGGTTGTGCTTCGTGGTGAAATCGCTAACACATCCTGGCCACTCGCAATTGAACTTGGCTGCGTGTCTCCTGCGCCGCTCAGATGCTTTCTTGACTGCTTCAGTAGCTATCTTTGGCCGCTGTCCGGGAGGGAAGTGTGTCGCTTCCGGGTGGGCCATATGTGTGACAGCAGAATCACTTCCATTGGTCTGCGTAAAATCTGTGCCCTCTGGCCATGGTGTCATACGACTAGCGCGAATGGGTGATGTTGAAATTGCACCAGTAGGATAAGATTGAGAATACTGATCGGGCATGGCGGACAAAGGCTGTAAAGCGACACCAATGTTCTGCGTAAAACACAAATCCTCCTGCGGTGGTATCATACGATCAACGCGTCCATCGCCATTAGATAAGATTGGGATTGAAAAATTAGGAGAGGATTGAGAATAGTGGTAGTCCATTGTGGACGAGGGTTGCGAAAGGAAGTGAGAATCCCAGAACGGGACGAATTGCATAGGCAAGACATTGGAACTGCCCGTGGCGCTAACGACTGTGGTTGTCGATCTTGGTCTGGAAGGTCGATTGAACGTTCTGGGTGGCTGAACGGAGCGCGCTCTCGAGTTGGGATGAGAAACAACAGCCAATTGCTGTCGCCCACGACGGTTGTAATCCCCATCAGGCAGTGAGGGTATAGGTGGGCTGGTGACGTTGGACTGATATATGGGATCCTCGGTTGCACCAGATTCAAAATATTGGGAGTCGTTATTCTGCATGTGACTGGATTCGACAGTTGCGGTGGAATCCATGACATAACCACCAAAGAAGTGGGGGTTGTCTGGAAGAACATTTGAAATGCGAACAATCATAGAGGAGCGCGACGTACCTCTCGCAGAAGGCCATGACGAGTGAGGTAACCTATGATAATTGTTAATTAGGAAAAGAGACGAATCAAGTTGTTTCTACTAACGTGGGAAGATCTCGCTGGGGCTGCAATTGATACGAGTCGTACGATCTTGTCCAGGAGCAATCTTCCATTGTGACCTAGATGGAGAGGAGGGGCCTGGTCCAACATGATAACATTCGGGGGGTTTTTGAGGTAGGTTGGGCTATGCATTGCAGGTTGTTGTTTTCGGAGAGTGTGCAGTAGCGAAAGCCTGCTGTCTGCTGGCCAACTACCCAGAAAATGGGAGGGAGATAATAATTTTAGCGCGTTTCAGGAAACAGTGCAATGAGAGCAGTTGTTTGTCTTCGCCTTCGGTGCCTAACCTGGTCCTCATTGCACCCAGTAAGTAGTATCCACCAGCCTCCAGGTCTCCACCTTTCCCCTTCTCCGTTCCCACAAACTGGGCCAATTCATCGTGTTTTACAGGGGTTGAAGCTGTGTATCATAGCAGCTTAATAGCGAGCGTCTAATTGCTTGTTTCGGTACCATGCGCCTGTTAAGTTCATGGCGCTCTTAAATAGATGACATCCGGAACAGCTCTCTACTACGCCGATTAGCTGGAATCTAAGAGAGATGAAAGAAAAAAAAATTGCAATTGGCCACGGGATTTTAGGTCGACCGAGAGTATAGCTGCAGCGACAACTCAACATCTAGCAGAAATTTACTGCTCCGTTGTTATAATTTTTTGAGGTTGGATTCATTCGAAGAGTTGGTCTCGTGTAAGAAAAAAAAGAGAAATCGAGAGGACTTTCTTCGGGGTTGGTTGACTTGGCACACGGCACACAGCCACATACAAAACTGTTACCGTCCCACTGGCTGGTCGTCTTTTCTTCCCTCACGTCCATCCTCCGTAGGCGACGACCACGACAACAAATACCGTCTGAATACCCTTAGATACCATCCGTATTCACAGTTCTAGACGCCCTGCATGAGGCCATCTACCTCGCTTCAAGTCTTCTGCCTTCTTGCCCTGGCTTCAGCGCAGCACGCGTCTGCGAACAATGTTTACCATCGTCAGGCATCCTCTCAGCCGGGGATTACGGGGACATCGTCCACTACTACGTCTACTTCATCCACGACGTCGTCTGTCTCTGAAAGCACCTCAACGGTTTCTGCGACACACTCGTCTACCACTACGTCGACTACCTCTTCTACATCTACTACGTTAACCTCCCAGGCTTCCTCCCCTGCATCCATTACTCAACCTCCTCCTTCCTCTCCCTCTCAATTTACAACGAAAGATATCAATGGGTCTGAGGTCACAGTGACCGTGACGACAACCTCATCATCTACCTCTGCCTCTCCTACCCAGACGAGTGGGGGTAGTTCTGATAGTGGCGGCCTCGGTACAGGTTCTATTGTCGGCATGTCGGTGGCCGGCGGTGTTGCCGTAATTGGCATCATCGCCTTCTTTGTTTGGAAATTCACAAGAAAACGGTTCGCTGATTTCGATGACAGTATGTATTATAGCCAATGGGCCAGTAAAAAAGAAAGTCTTACATTTTGTTAGACGAAGCCATCAAATGGCCTGATTTGAATACGCATGGAGGAGCAGTTGACTCGCACCCATTGCCTGTTCATAACACTGGTCGAGCAGGTTTCGACACTGGCTCAGAACCGTCTCTTTCTCGCGTTCCGTCATCTACTTACTCGACCCCCGATTTTGGTGCCAATGGGCCAGACCCCTACGCCGTCCCTCCTCTACCCCATTTGAATCCAAACCAACCTTATCGAGACGACCCCACAGGTGCAACAGGGTATTATGACCCATATCGCGGGCCTGTGCCGGGCACTTTAGAGACAGGGGTTCCAGGAGGCGAGTGGGGAGGAGAAGCTATTCCAATGACTCAAATGAATCAACCGGCATACGGTGTAGAACCAGCGGCCTACGAGGTTGGGCGAAGGAGCCCCGGGCCCCAGGCGGCGTATGGCGTTGATCCGGTTTACAATTCGGGCAGGCAAAGTCCTGGAGCACAAGTTGCATATGGAGGAAGATCATCTCCCGGCCCACAAGCTGCGTATGGTGGAGGTAGAACGTCACCTGGTCCACAAGCTGCGTATGGCGGTGGGCGGTCATCACCTGGCCCACAAGCTGCGTATGGCAACGGGCGGTCATCTCCTGGACCCCAAGCCGCGTACGGTGGTGGTCGGACTTCACCGGGGCCAAATGTAGCGTATGGTGGTGCTAACAACGATACATACGGTGCGCGGTAGATTTGGGAATACAAGTGTGCAAAAAGGTATTGACAGGTCTTTGGTATATGAATTTCGATAATACATTATCTTTATACATATGATGGACAAAAGTGCGAACGCTGAAAGTGAATTTTACAAAGCACGTGGATGTCCTTGGCCAAGTACAACTACAACTTGACACAGCTCTTCCTCATTCCCTGTCACTGCCCGCCGTCAACAACCTCCGTTCTCGCTTTCCTTCAACGTCCAACTCGTATCCTACAAATACCAACCATTCGCCCCCGCTTAGCCAATCTTAACCAACATGGCTCTGCTTGACCAAATATCTGATTTGGTAACAAGACTCGTCCCTCCAAAGGCTCCCAAGCCTACAACTTCAATGTCGGGAGGAATTGGTAGTGGGCATGGGATGGTTCCGTTTGATGACGACGTGAGCGCGATCTCTACATTTTTCTCTGAACCCATACTGCAATCACCACCCGACTGCGCCGCACAACCACACCACCGCACAACCGCATGTCTCACTCGCACTTGCGTACCACTCGCTTTCAATTGGGCATTCAACAACTCTTTGTTGGGTTTAACTGCAACCGTTCGCTGTCGTTTTATACAATTCAGGTGCTCAACGGGTGGTTTTACGTAATCACGACATGGTTGAAGTTGTTGCTTGATGGCCGAGAGTGAAGGCCAGCTCGTCTTTCTCATTTTCATTCCCGTTTTTTGGGTTCTCTGGCTATGGGTTCATTTGCTTTACGCTCCGTGTGTCGTCTAACGCGCTCACACAATGCAACTCCCAGATGATCGTATCGAAACCAACAATCGTCTTCCATGCATCTCAAATCTTCTTCAACTTTCTCGCAATGGCATGCTTCGCGAGCGTAGCTAGCTTTCAGGCGAAGTGGAAAGTGGGACCTTGTGTGTTTTCTATTTGTTTTTTCGCGTTTGACGCGCAACTGACCGAACACAGCTGGTCTCACAGGCTTTGCCATTTTCTCCGCTGTCGTAGGCATGTTCTTGTCTGCATTCATGCTTATGATCCCGGTGGTATACGAAAAATACGACAAGTTTGTTCGTCTTGCACGTGCACTCAAGGAAATCCGCATTGGCTTTATTCTCACCGGCATGGGCGCTACCCTCAGTCTTCTAATAGCGTCCGTTATCATCCTGCACTTTCCTCATCTCATCGTCTTACAAATACTTCTAGATTTATCGTAACTATCTCAGCGTGGACACAGGCAGGGTGCAAAAATGCGGAGAACGACCCTCATGCCGAAAGCAACGGGAAGGATTTTGTCAGTGCCCTTCCAGGATGGTGTAATACAAAGAAAGCCGGAGCCATCTTTTTCTGGCTAACCTTCAGTGAGCGCTTTTCGCTCTAGTCATGCTCCCTACTTATCAATTTTTGCTAGTCTTCTGGGGTGCATCCGTTGTTCTTCTTGTCCTTGACTGGCGGTCTGGTAAACTACACGCTCATCACGACCCACCTTTCTCAATACCTCATGGAAACCATGATGAGGAAGAAGCCGAAGAAGATGCATCTTACACACATATCCCACCTGCCCGCCAAACGTCCTCATCTTCCAGATACGATAACTCCAACGCTACCAATTCCCCATTTGCAGACGGGAGCCGATATGCCGTCTCTGCCTCAGGGGGAACATCAGCACCCACCGCGTATACTCCCGCATCTGCTGCCCAACCTCTTGCAGGCCGTCCAAGCATGGATGCATACGGCGCCTTCTCTGATCCCGCGCCCAGTGGTTTTGGAAACTCATCACCTGGTTATTCAACTGCTCCAAGTGGCTACTCGGCGAGCGGCTACGCCCCTTCGCCTGCGAGAACGGCAGGCCCCCCAATACTCCCTGAGCCTGATCTCGGCCCCAGAGTCAGCCGGACGATGCAGTATGCTGATCCGTATGCCGCTGTCAGAGCGACTATTGCTGGACAGCAAGGTCCTGCTTCTCCAACATCGCCGCCTAGTTATGAAAGCTATCAAGGGTATCGGTAGCGGAGTCGAATGTATGATTAGCTTATAGTATTGTCGAAGGACATTCTTTCCACTTTCATCCTATTTAAAGTACATCTATATGTACACTGTTGTTTGCTCTCTGAAGTGACGTGGAGAAACGGGTGATGATATGTAAATCAAAATTGGATGGACAAACAAATGTGTAGCAAAGACAACAAGATCGACCCGTCAAAGATGGACAACTGTAAATATGTCAATAATAAAATGATAAAAAAAGACAAAGCGAGTAGCAGATAGTACAACACCAAACAGTGGGAAAGGCAAGACAGATAGGAAAAGATAGAGGGGTCAACTGCGGCGCGGTCCTTTCCTTCGGGAGTCAGTTTTGAACCTGGTCAAAGGATAGTCATCTTCATCATCCACAGCAGCCTCATCTGCTGGGTCTTCCGCTCCTTCAACGTAGCCAAGTCCCATGAAAACCGGCGTACCGCCAGCACCCCCGTGTGCAAGAAACCCCCTTTGCTTGCTCATAGTTCCGAAACCCATGAGAATACCGTCATCTAAGCTAATGTCCGTACCGCCCTCTTTGTCCGAAGACGCATTTCGTAGCTCCTCATCCAAAGTCTGTCTTCTCCTCGTCTTGAGCTCCGCCTTGGAGACCTTTGGTTTCGAAGACTCCCCGCGTGATAATCTGACTGAGTGTTGTTTAGAGCTACGACGTGCCTCTTCTTGCGATTGTCGAGAGTTCTGTTTTTGAGAAGATTGAGAGGCTTTATCTGAGGCTTTATCTGAGGGTTGAGAGCCTCCTGCTTGTGAGGCAATGGACATCGATAGAGGATCTTCATCCTCCGAGTCATCTGAAGGTCGCGGTGGTGGCATACTTCGAGGTACACGGGCGGGAGGGCGTGGTTTAATCGGCGATTTAGCGGGCATGGGTGAGGAGGGGGGCCGGCGGTCGAAGAAGCTAGTAGAATGCCGTTGAGACAAGACAGCTGGACCATCCTCGAGAAGTCTTGTCGGCTTTGTAGGAGGTGAATGTACCTCCAGCATGTCCACATCGATGACCTCTCTCTCCGCTTCGTCTTCCACTGGGACCCCAGTACCCTTGAATCTAAAGATTCCACGGGAAGGAGGTATAGGAGGCGTTGAGGGCAGCGGGTCTTCAGGGCTCATGTCACCCTCTCGTTCGTTGTCGTTATCAGAGCAAAGCGACGGGGTGGGTGCGTCTACAGTTGATGGAGGTCGCCAATTACGCGAGGTAGCAGCAGCTCTTGATGATGGTGGCTGCGAAATGGACAAGGAAGTTGAACTCGAAAGGCGGAAAGAACTCAGAGTCGAGGCGGACGCAAAACTTGAATCAGATGAGGATGGCAGGGAGCGTCGCTTAGCAGTAGGGCCTGAAGAAGGAGAAAATATATTTCGATCCAACAAAAACGGGTGAAAAAACATAAGAACATACGAGGGTCGTCATGAGAAACGATGGAATCAAATCTCTTCCTCTTCTCACCAACATGGGCGTCCATTCCAGCCGGCAAAGGAGCCGACAAGATGTCGGAATATTTATTTGAAACTCTTGAGGCTCGTGCTAAATTCGTTGGCCTCAGGCTCGGCGTCGTAAAGCTTGTCTTGTGAGGCACCCTTGCAGCGGACGATGACTCTTCAGCTGACGCCGACTGCCTCGAGACCTTTCGAAGGCGTACAGTCTTCATTTCAGTTAAAAAAGCTGCTATCTTATCAGGGGCGATTCCGATACATGGTTGTCCCTGTCGCCGGCTGGGGGGAGGGTTGATAGGTGCTTCAGAAGGGGTCGGCGCATGTTTAAGCGCAGCACGAGCGGAGGCGAACAACAGGTCCGGATCACCAGAAGACGTTGGCAGGCGCAGAATTGCCTTACTCGA